CGGTGGCGGCGGGCAGGGAGGGAGGGGACGGTGCCAGCGCGGTGCCACCCGGGGCGCGGCGACCCCCAGGCCGGACACGGCCCAAGGGCTCTGCGCAGGGCCCGGCCGTGCCGCCGTGCCCCGCTGCGCACCCCCGTCACCGGCAGGGGATGGGCACGGGGCCGGGCACGGAGAAACGGCACGGGGACAGGCACGGATCACCGGGACGGGGACAGGCACGGATCACCGGGACGGGGACAGGCACGGGCACGGGGACAGGCACGGAGAAACGGGACGGGGACAGGCACGGGTCACCGGGACAGGAGCGGATCCGGGGATGGGCGTGGAGCACCGGGATGGGGACGAGCACGGATCACCGGGACGGGCACGGATCACCAGGATGGGGACGGAGCCGGGAATGGTTACGGATCTCCAGGATGGGCATGGATCATCAGGATGGGCACTGATCACCGGGATGGGGATGGGCAGGGGGACGGGCACGGATCATTGGGACGAGCATGGATCCGGGAATGGCCGCAGGTCACCGGGATGGGCATGGATCACCGGGATGGGACTGGGTACAGAGCACCGGGTCACCGCCCCAGGGACGGCCCTTTTGATGCCTTCACCGGCCCTGGCACCCCATGGATGCCCCCCGGCATTCCATGGATCCAGCCCTGGCACCCCACGGATGCCCCCGGGGGTCCCACCAAGGTCACACCAAGAGCCTTTATTGGGAGCAGGTCCGGGGCAGCGACCCCCGGCCCCCCCGGTCACTTCCCGGCCGCGGCGGGGGGTTTGTCGAAGAGCGCCGCGATGTCCAGCATGGCCTGGCGGATGTTGCGGCCGAAACGCTGCGAGTCCTGCGGGCAGCGCCGCTCAGAGCCCGCCCCGACCCCCGGGGGGCGCCCGGACCCCCCCCAGGGGGGGATCCGAATGCCCACAGTGAGACCCGAACCCCCCCATGCCCACCCTGGGGCACCCCCGGCGCTGTGGGACCCCCAGCACGGCCTGCACCCCAGAGGGGGTGACTGGGACGTGGGGAGGGTCCCAGAGGAGGGGACTGGGATGGAGTGGGGGTCCCACAGGAAGGGGGGGGCAGGATGCAGCAGGGTCAAGATCAGGGTCAGGGGCTGTCCCAGACCCACAGGTGACCCCACAGGTGACCCCACGGGCAGCGACTGCAGCTCTGGGAGAGGCCCCCGCCACCCCCCGTGCCCCCCTCACCGTCTCGGGGCTGGAGAACTTGCTGGACACGTGGAAGGTGATGAGGTTCTCCCCGGCGATGATGTAGGACACCCCATAACCATCGTCTGCCACCTGCGGGGGGCACAGGGGCCATGGGGCACCTGCGGGGGGCACCCGGGGCACCCACCCGGGTGTGGGGTCGGGCTGAACCCACCCGGGTCACCCATGTGGGGCTGGGGGCTCCGGTGTGGGGCACCCCCAGCCCAAACCCACGGGGTGGGGGGCGCACTACGGACCCCACAGCCACCCCCGCACCCGCTGCCCCCCTCCCGCTGCCCCCCGGTGCCCCCCGGTGCCCCCCGGAGCTCACGGGGCCGAAGCCGCCGCCGCTGGAGACGTGGTCGGGGAATTCCTCGAAGTCGAACATCTTGAGCTGCTGCTGCGGGGTCTGGCTGGTGGAGAGGCGCCAGGGCTCCGACAGCACCTGTGGGGACCCTCGCTGCACCCCGGGGCGCCCCAGAGCACCCCGGGGAACCCCGGGAACCCCGGGGAACCCCACTGCGCCCCGCTGCCCCCAGCCCCAGAGCGGGACTCCACGTGCGGTGACACCAGGGCGGGTGGCAGTGTCCCCGCTGTGCCCTCCCGGTGCCACTCTGTGTCCCCCCGTGCCTTCCTATGCCCCCTTGCCCGTGTCCCGCAGTGGTTCTCTGTGCTCCCCCCGTGTCCCCTCCGTGTCCCTCAGTGCCACCCTCGTGTGCTGCTCCCACACTGTCCCTCGTGTCCCCGTCCCGTGTCCCCTTCGTGTCCCTCAGTGTCCCCTGTGCTGCTCCCCCCGTGCCCCCCGCAGTGTCCCCCGTATCCCCTCGTGTCCCTGTCCCGTGTCCCTGTCCCGTGTCCCACCGTGTCCTCTGTCCCTGTCCTGTGTCCCCTGTCCCTGTCCCATGTCCCCGTCCCGTGTCCCCCCGTGTCCTCTGTCCCTGTCCCGTGTCCCCTGTCCCCGTCCCGTGTCCCCTGTCCCGTGTCCCCTGTCCCCGTCCCGTGTCCCCTGTCCCCTGTCCCACCGTGTCCTCTGTCCCTGTCCCCTGTCCCATGTCCCCATCCCGTGTCCCCTGTCCCATGTCCCGTGTCCCCTGTCCCATGTCCCGTGTCCGCTGTCCCATGTCCCACCGTGTCCTCTGTCCCTGTCCCCTGTCCCTGTCCCCTGTCCCTGTCCCGTGTCCCCATCCCGTGTCCCCGTCCCGTGTCCCCCCGAGTCCCCCCGTATCCCCTGTCCCCGTCCCGTGTCCCTGTCCTGTGTCCCACCGTGTCCTCTCTCCCTGTCCCCTGTCCCTGTCCCCTGTCCCCGTCCCGTGTCCCCCGCGCTGACCTTGGCCAGGAAGGGGCTCTGCATGCCGAGGTACCGGGACATCAGGTAGAGGCAGAAGAGGTGGCGGTCGATGCCCGCGCCGGTCATGGCGAGGCGGTAGAGCTGCTGGTGCTTCTCGGCCGCCGCCTTGAACAGCTGCTGCCGCTCCGAGCGCTGGGTGAACCCCAAAGTTACTGACACCCCAAATTAACTGACACCCCAAATTAACTGACACCCCAAACCTGCACCCCAAACTGAGCCCCGGCACAGCCCCCAGATCTGCACCTTGAACAGCTGCTGCATCTCTGAGCACTGGGGGCCAGGGGGTGAACCCCAAAATTACTGACACCCCAAACTGACACCGCAAACCTGCACCCGAAACTGAGCCCAAACCTGAACCCCAACACAGCCCCCAGATCCGCACCTCGAACAGACACTGCCACTCTGAGCACTGGGGGGCCCGGGGGGGCTGGACTCCAAACTGAACCCCAACACACCCCCAGGCCTGCGCCCCAAACAGAACCCGAACCTGCACCCCAAACCTGCACCCCAAACAGAACCCGAACCTGCACCCCAAACCCGCACCCCAAACACAACCCGAACCTGCACCCCAAACCTGCGCCCCAAACAGAACCCGAACCTGCACCCCAAACCTGCGCCCCAAACAGAACCCGAACCTGCACCCCAAACCTGCACCCCAAACCTGAACCCCAAACAGACCCCAAACCTGCACCCCAAACAGAACCCGAACCTGCACCCCAAACCTGCACCCCAAACAGAACCCGAACCTGCACCCCAAACAGAACCCGAACCTGCACCCCCAAACCTGCACCCCAAACAGAACCCGAACCTGCACCCCAAACCTGCACCCCCAGTCTGCACCTTGAACAGTCGCTGCTGCCCCTCCGCGCTCTGGGGAGGGTTCAGGGGGGCTGCACCCCAAACTGCGCCCCAAAGGGGCCCCCAGCCCCCTGAGGGACGGGGACCCCCCGGTGGCACTCACGCTGCGCCGGCTGTCGGCCATGCTGCGCACGAAGGCCGTGGACTCGGAGGTGCAGGAGCGCACGGTCTCGGTGCGGCCCTCGCGGAACAGCCGCGTCATGGAGGCCTCGTAGGTCAGGCAGAAGGAGCCCTTGTCCTGCGGCCGTGGGGACACGGCTCGTCCCGCTGCCGCTCACACCCGCCTCGTCCTGCCCGCGGCCCCGCCTGGCACATCCCAGCCTTCCCGGGTCCTGCGCCATCCCATCCCACTCCAATCCCATTCCATCCCATCCCATCCCATCCCATTCCATCCCATCCCAATTCCATCCCATCCCACCCCACCCCATCCCTTCCCATTCCCATTATCCCACCCCATGGATCCCATTCCCATTATCCCACCCTACCCCAAGGATCCCATTCCATTATCCCACCCTGTGGATCCCATTCCCATTGTCCTGCCCCATGGATCCCATTCCATTATCCCACCTCATGGATCCCATTCCCATTATCCCACGCCACCCCAAGGATCCCATCCCATGGATCCTGCCCCATTCCTATTCCATTATCCCACCCCATGGATCCCATTCCCATTATCCCCCCCTACTCCAAGGATCCCATTCCATTATCCCGCCTCATGGATCCCATTCCCATTATCCCCCCCTACTCCAAGGATCCCATTCCATTATCCCGCCTCATGGATCCCATTCCCATTATCCCCCCCTACTCCAAGGATCCCATTCCATTATCCCGCCTCATGGATCCCATTCCCATTATCCCCCCCTACTCCAAGGATCCCATTCCATTATCCCGCCTCATGGATCCCATTCCCATTATCCCACCCCACCCCAAGGATCCCACCCCGTTCCCATTCCTTTATCCCACCCGATGGACCCCATTCCCATTATCCCACCCCACCCCAAGGATCGCACCCCGCGGATCCCATTCCATTATCCCCACTCCATGGATCCCATTCATTATCCCACCCCGTGGATCCCATTATCCCACCCCGTGGATCCCATTCCCATTATCCCACCCCATCCCAAGGATCCCACCCCGTGGACCCCATTCCCATTATCCCACCCCATGGATCCCATTCATTATCCCACCCCGCGGATCCCGTTGTCCCGCCCCGCGGGTGCCGCGCGCTCCCGGCCCTCACGCGGAAGTGTGCCAGCTGCAGGGCGATCTGGATGAAGGCGTCGGGGCTGGTGCGGCAGCGCTTGATGAGCCCCTTGCCGAAGGTGGAGAACGGGAAGCAGCAGAAATCCACGTCCTCGGCCAGCGCCCGCGCCACCCGCAGCGACGCCTCGATGGCCGCCACCCCCTGGGGACACGGCATGGCGTGGCACGGCATGGCACCCTCACCTGAACCTGCACCTGTGCCACCCACAGTGACCCCTGGATGGCCGCCACCCCCTGGGGACACGGCATGGCGTGGCACGGCATGGCACCCTCACCTGAACCTGCGCCTGAACCACTCCCAGCGACCTCTCAATGGCTGCCGCCCCCCCGGGGACACCATGGCATGGCACGGCACGGCATGGCACGGCACCCTGACCTGTGCCCTCATCTGTACCTGCACCCACACCTGTGCCACCCTGCAGTGACCCCTGGATGGCCGCCACCCCCTGGGGACACGGCACGGCACGGTACGGCACGGCACAGCATTCACCTGTGCCCTCACCCTCACCTGTAGCTGTCCCCGCCCTGTCCCCGCGCTGTCCCCGCCCTGTCACCCACCTCGGGGGGGATGTCCCACTGCAGGCGCTGGGGGGGGGCCAGCTGCCGCCTGGGGTCCCCCTTGCAGTGCCCCCCCTCGGTGTAGCCCAGCTGGAACTTGTCCGTGGCCAGCATGAACTGGGGGGGGGACAGGGGGCGTTGGGGAGGGAGTGGGGTCACGCACCGGTCGTAGCAGCGGCCGTGCAGCAGGGACTTGGCGTAGGCGTCCATGCAGCCGGGCCGGGCGGGCTCGTGGCCGTGCTCGTCCTCGTCCAGCGTCAGGAAGAAGGCGGCGCGCTCGATGGCGTCCAGCGCCGCCTTGTTGGGGCCGCGGCTGAAGAACCGCGCCCGCGCCTCGGCCCACGGCACCCTGCGCGGCCCGGTCAGCGCGGGGAGCCCCCCGAGACCCCCGCCCACGGGGTGCCCCGTGCCCGCAGCGTGAGGCGCACAGGGACGGGCACAGGGATGGGGACAGGGACGGGGACAGGGACGGGACGCCCTGGTGGCCCAGGGTTCCCAACGCTCCTGGTGTTTCCAGAACCGCCGCTGTGCCCATTGCTCCCGGAGCTCCCAGTGTCCCCAACATCCCCATCATTCCCATTATTCCCAGAGTTCTCGGTATTTCCAGGTGCAGAGTGTCCCCAGTATTCCCGGTATTCCCACTATTCCCGGTGTTCCCAGGTGCCCAGTGTACCCAGTTTACCCAGTTTCCCCATTATTATTCCCATTATTCCTGGTGTTCCCAGGTACCCAGCATCCCCAGTATTATTCCCATTATTCCTGGAGTTCCCAGGTGCCCAGATTCCCCATTATTATCCCCACTATTCCTGGTGTTCCCAGAGCTCCCAGGTGCCCAGCATCCCCAGTATCCCCACTATTATTCCCATTATTCCCGGAGTTCCCAGGTGCCCAGTTTCCCCATTATTATTCCCACTATTCCTGGTGTTCCCAGAGCTCCCAGGTGCCCAGTATCCCCAGTATCCTCGGAGTTCCCAGGTGCCCAGCACCCCCAGTATCCCCACTATTATTCCCATTATTCCCGGAGTTCCCAGGTGCCCAGCACTCCCATTATTATTCCCATTATTCCCATTATTCCCGGGGTTCCCAGGTGCCCAGCACCCCCATTATTATTCCCATTATTCCCATTATTCCCGGGGTTCCCAGGTGCCCAGCACCCCCATTATTATTCCCATTATTCCCATTATTCCCGGAGTTCCCAGGTACCCACCATCCCCACTATTATTCCCATTATTCCCGGAGTTCCCAGGTGCCCAGCACCCCCATTATTATTCCCATTATTCCCGGGGTTCCCAGGTGCCCACCATCCCCACTATTATTCCCATTATTCCCGGGGTTCCCAGGTGCCCAGCACCCCCATTATTATTCCCATTATTCCCATTATTCCCGGGGTTCCCAGGTGCCCAGCAGCCCCGTCCCTCCCGTCCCTGCCGGTGCCGCACACCTTTCCCCGGCGGTGAGCGCCGCCAGCCGCTCCTCCCCGGGCTGGGGGGGCGAGGGATCATCCAGGATCCTCTGGAATTGCATCTCCAGGTCGGCGGGGGGCAGCAGCTGCCCCCCGTAGTACAGCCACACCTTGTAGTAGCGGCCCTTGTGGTACACGGCCAGGTGTTTGCTGTCCGCCAGGTGCAGCAGCGTGTCTGGGGGGGGCACGGGGGGCTCAGGGCGGCGGGGACCCCCGGGACGGCCCCCCCGGGCCGTGCCGCCCCCCCGGGCCCGTACCGCTCTCCTTTCCCGGGATGCGGGTGGTGTTGAACATCCGCTCCGACTGGTACGAGCACATGGGCACCACGCCCAGCGCCATCATCTGGGGGGGGACACGGCTCGGGGGTCCGGGGGAGGGGGGCTGTGTCCCCCGCTCCGCGCCCCCCGCCAGCCTCCTGGTGACACCGCCCTGCTTCTGTCCCTGCTCTCCCAGGACCCCCAAAATCCATGGGATCCCCACAGCATCCCCAGCCCCACGGGACCCCCAGGACTCCCCCTCCCCCTGGAGCCTCCCAGCATCCCCCACCGGGGGAATCTCGCCCCGGTCCAGCCGCCGCCGGTAGAGGATGAGGGAGTGCACCACGTTGGCCGCCCGCGCCGCCTGGATGGGGCTGGGGATCACGTACAGGAAATCCTGGCGACAAGGCAGGGACACGGCGCGTGTCGCGGGTGCTGCCGGGGGTCCCCGGGGGGGGTTGGGGGTCCCCCAGCCCCCCAGCATCCCTTACCATGGCGTAGTAGTTGCTGTTGACCATGAGGGGGCTGCGGCCGCGCAGGTAAATGTACTCCTCCCACCAGTCACTGACCTGCGGGAACGGGGACGGGGACAGGGACGGGGGACAGGGACAGGGGACAGGGACACCGGGGGGAAGAGAGCACAGGGACAGGGATGGAGAGAGGGAACCGGGAAAAGCCACAGCGAGCAGGGGACATGGGATAAGGGACAGGGATAGGGGACAAGGAATGGGGACAGGAGACAGGGATAGGGACAGGGATAAGGGTGAGGGGACATGGGATAGGGGACAGGGGACGAGGGATAGGAGCCAGGAACGGGGATGGGGATAGGGACAGGAATAGGGACGGGAATGGGGGACAGGGACAAGGGTTAGGAGACAGGGACAAGGACAGGAGACAGGGGAAGGGACAGGGATGGGGACAGGAAACAGGGACAGAAACAGGGGTACAGGATCCTCCGCCCCTTCTGCTCCACCCAGGAGATCCCAAATCCCTCCTCACGCTGCCGGGAGGGGACACCAGCTCCGAGGTCACCTCCCCAGCGGCTGCGGGGTCCCCAGCTCCGAGGTCACCTCCCCAGCGGCTGCGGGGTCCCCAGTGCCCCCCCGGCCCCACACTCACATAGTTGGTCGTCCACCAGGACTTGAGGAGCAGGTACCGCTGCAGCCGCGGCGCCGTCTTCTCCTGGAACTCCTTGGCCAGCGCCGCCATCTCCTGGTACTTGTCATCATCCAGGAGCGGCCGCACCGACTCCAGGTACTGCGGGGAGGGGACACGGCGTCACCCCCGCCACTGGCACCTCCACTGCCACTGGCACTGCCACCTCCACTGCCACCGCCACTGCCGCTGGCACTGCCGGGCGCCCCGCGGCCCCAGCCCCGCGGGGGTGGCGTACCCGGGCGACGGTGGCTTTCACGGGGGGCACCGGGAGCTTGGGCAGGGAGCTCTGGAAGCTGTAGAGGAGGGGCTTGCGGATGGACATGATCTTCATCAGCGCCTGCAGCAGGAGGAGGAGGAGGGATGGGGTGAGGATCCACGGCTCCCAAAAAACTCCAGGCACCCGTGGCTCCCAAAGCAGCACAGCTCCTACCCCACCCGTGGCTCCCACAGCTCCCCGAGCCCCCAGACCATCAACATCCCCATGGCTCCAGCAGCTCCCCGAGTTCCCACAGCTCCAAAGGCTCCCACGGCAGCCACAGCTCCAAAGGCTCCCACGGCCCAAAAAACTCCAGGCACCCGTGGCTCCCAAAGCAGCACAGCTCCTACCCCAGCCACAGCTCCCGTGGCTCCCACAGCTCCCCGAGCCCCCAGACCATCAACATCCCCATGGCTCCAGCAGCTCCCCGAGTTCCCACAGCTCCAACAGCTCCCACAACTCCCACCCAAAGCTCCAAAGGCTCCCATATCCCCCACAGTCCCCAAAACTCGCTCCTCATCTCCCAGGACTCCCAGAGCTCCCGTAACTCAGATGGCTCTCACAGCGCCCACAGCTTGTGCAGCCTCCACAGCTGCCGTGGTTCCAACGCTCGCAAAGCTCCATCTCCCACAGCTCCTAAAGCTCCCAACATCTCCCAGAGCTCCCACACCTCCCAGAGCTCCCACAGCAACAAAGGCTCCCACAGCTCCCAAAGCTCCCAACATCTCCCAGAGCTCCCAAAGCTCCCACATCTCCCATGTCTTTCACATCTCCCAAAGCTCCCAGAGCTCCCAACCAACATCTCCCAGAGCTCCCACAGCTCCAAAGGCTCCCACAGCTCCCAAAGCTCCCACAGCTCCTAAAGCTCCAACATCTCCCAGAGCTCCCACATCTCCCAGAGCTCCCATGGCTCCCAAAACTCCCACATCTCCCAGAGCTCCCAGAGCTCCCAAAGCTCCCAAAGCTCCCACATCTCCCAGAGCTTCCATGGCTCCCACAGCTCCCACACCTCCCAAAGCCCCCACAGCTGCCAAAACTCCCACAGCTGCCAAAACTCCCACATCTCCCAAAGCTCCCATAGCTCCTAAAGCTCCAAAGACTCCCACATCTCCTGAAGCTCCCACATCTCTCCCATCTCCCACAGCTCTCCCAAAGCTCCCAAAGCTCCAAAGACTCCCACATCTCCTGAAGCTCCCACAGCTCTCCCATCTCCCAAAGCTCCAACTACTCCCACATCTCCTGAAGCTCCCACATCTCTCCCATCTCCCAAAACTCCCACAGCTCCCAAAGCTCCAAAGATTCCCACATCTCCTGAAGCTCCCACATCTCTCCCATCTCCCAAAGCTCCCACAGCTCCCAAAGCTCCAAAGACTCCCACATCTCCTGAAGCTCCCACAGCTCCCACAGCTCTCCCATCTCCCAAAGCTCCAAAGACTCCCACATCTCCTGAAGCTCCCACATCTCTCCCATCTCCCAAAACTCCCACAGCTCCCAAAGCTCCAAAGACTCCCACATGTCCCACAGCCCCCACAGCTCTCCCATGCCCCCCGTCTCCCGGCGCGGGCGCTGCTCACGATCCAGAGCCGGGTTCTGCGGCTCATGCGCCCGTGGGGCTCGAACATCCAGCCGTGGTAGGAGAGCATCAGGCGGAGCAGCCTCCGGAAGAGCAGCACGGCCGCCAGCCAGGCCCCCGTGGAGAACACCACGGTGCTGACCACGGCCTGCGCCTGGGGGGTCAGCGCCTCGCTGGGGACACGCGGGGACACGCCTCAGGGGTGGGCACAGCACGGCTGGGATGCCTGTCCCCAAGCAGGGCCGTGCCCCTGGTGGCACTCCCAGGGAATGTCCCCAGCTGGGGCTGTGCCTGTGGAGCGGGACCCACGGGGATGTCCCGAAGTGGGGTCCCTTGAGGGACACCCCCAAATGGAGATGTGCCAGGCCTCCTGCACCTCCCGGGGGCTGGGGTCCCTCTGTGGGACAGGGCTGTGCCGTGGGGTGGGACCCCTTGAGGGACACCCCCAAAAGGGGCGGGGATGTGCAGGCTGGAGCCCCCAGGGTTGTCACGGTCCCCAGGGCCGTGCTGGCCTTTGGGGTCTCTCCCCGAGACACTTCGGGGGGACCCTGCGGGCTGTCCCCAGCACGGAGCTGCCCTCGGGCCGTGTCCCCAGCACGGAGCTGCCCTCGGGCCGTGCCCCCAGCACGGAGCTGCCCTCGGGCCGTGTCCCCAGCACGGAGCTGCCCTCGGGCCGTGCCCCCAGCGCGGAGCTGCCCTCGGGCCGTGTCCCGCGCTCACCCGCGGGGCAGCCAGTGCTGGATGCGGGCGATGAGCCCCAGGGACGGATCCACCTGGCAGTAGCAGGAGCCGGCGGTGGCCATCACCACCACCATCCAGCTGGAGGGCGACGCGGGGTACACGCCGGTCAGGAAGCTGTTCTGTGGGCACAGCGGGGTCACGGGGGTGCCGGGGGGCTGCCGGGGGGAGGGGACGCGGGCGGCCGAGCCCACCTTGGCGCGGACCAAGCGCTTTTTCCATGAGTGGACGGCGGCCAGGTAGAGCTGGCGCACGGCCTCGCGGCTCAGGTGGAAGTCCAAGCCCTCGGGGGTGACCGTGAACTGGAAGGCCACGGCCTGGTGAGCTTCCGCCATGCTGGGGACCCGCCGGTGACACCTGCGGGGGGGGGGGGGGCACCGTGGGGGGGACAGGGGGTGCCCTCCCCGGTGTCCCCGGGGCGGTGCCAGGCGGCGGTGGCCCGCGGGAGCCCCCCGGGCCGCGTCACGGCGGCGTCACGAGGCGCTGGCCCGGCGCCCACTGAGGGAAGGGTCAGCGCTGTCACCGCCGCCAGCGCGGCCCCGGAGGGGACAGCGGGGACGACAGCCCGGCCCCCGCCCCGCACGGGACACACGCTGTCCCCTGCCCCGTGTCCCCTGCGGGAACGCGGGAGGGGTGGCACGGACACGGCCGGGGACCTCCGGGGTGTCACCAAGTCCCTGTGTCACCCTGGAGACCCCTCCCCCCGGCTCTGGGACCCCCCGGTGAGGGCACGGCCAGCGCCAAGCCCGGGGTGTCCGGGGGTGACACCCCTGTCCCCAACACGGGGACCTTTCCCACGGTGGCCTTGGGCTGAGGGTGACAGCCACGACCCGGTGACAGCGGGGCTGCTGTGCCCTCTGCACCTCGTGGTGTCACCACGCTGCGCCCCGTGGCACCCCACTGTGTCACCTGGCCTGGCACGGCACAGCTGGTGGCACCGATGCCACCCCAGAGCACGGCACGGCCTGGCCTGGCACGGCACAGCTGGGCATTGAACACATCCCCAGCCCTGCAGGGCGGCCTGGCACTGCCACCGCCCGTGCCACCCGCAGGGCACCGTGGCACTGCCACCGCCCGTGCCACCCGCAGGGCACCGTGGCACTGCCACCGCCTGTGCCACCCGCAGGGCACCGTGGCACTGCCACCGCCTGTGCCACCCGCAGGACACCGTGTCCCGGCCCGGCCCTGCCCGCCCTGTCCCGCAGGCCGTGCCCCCGCGTGTCCCTGCGGCGGTGGCACCGGGGACACTCCCGCCGTGTCCCCCCGCCCCGCCCAAGGTCACCGCGGCTCCGGGGCCGGGATGCGCAGCCCCGGGGCGGCCCCGCGTGGGGCCGGGCCCCGCTCCGGGACCCCCGGAGGGGACACCGCGAGGGGACCCTCGGCCAGGCGGGGGGCGCGGGGGGTCGCCCCCCACGGACGCGCGTGGGAGCCGGCACCGGGCGCGGCGCCACCGGAGGGGCCGGGGGTTGCCGGTACCGGGGGTCCCCGCGCGTGGGTCCCGTGCGCGCCCCCTCCCCGGGCCCGGTACCTGCGTGGGCAGCGCGGGGGCCGCGGCTCCGCGGGACGGCGGCTCCTGCGGCCGCCGGTAACCGGACACCGGAGGGGCCGGGCGGCGCCGCTCCGCCCCCGGGGGGACCGCGACACCCGGGGGGACCCCGACACACCGCGACGGGGACCGCGACAGCGCGGGGCCACCCGGATCCCGGGACACGGACCGGCGTCCCGGGGGAAAGCGACAGCCCGGGGCAGGACAGGAGTCCCCGGCCGGGGACAGCGACATGTCGGGACAAGGAGCACGACATCCCCGGGGGTGCCTGTCCCGGGACAGGGCTGGACATCCCGGGACAGAACGGGCAGCGCCGGGATGGGGCGTCATCAACAGCCCGGGCCACGGAGCGTCACCCCGGGGGGACAGCGGGGACACCGGGGGACAGCGGGGACACTGGGGGACAGCGGGGACACCGACATCCCGGGGGGATCCCGACCTCCTCCAGGGGATCCACGTCCCGGGACAAGAATCCGCACCTGGGACAGGGACCCGGGACAGGGACACACGGACCAGGACAGGGATGGGGACATGCACGGGGACAGGGATCCATATCAGTGACAGGGACACGAACCGGGACAGGGACACGCATCCTGGGGACAGGGAGACACGGACCAGGACAGGGAGACACACCCGGGACAGGGACTGCCATCCCGGGACAGTGGCCCGCATCAGTGACAGGGACACGAACCGGGACAGGGACTGCCATCCTGGGGACAGGGACAGTGGCTCTGCCACGGGCTCCGGCTGTGCGTGCCCGGGGCAGTGGCTGCTGTCCCTGTCCCTGTGCCCTGCCTGTCACCTGCCCCGTGCTCTGCCTGTCACCTGCTCCGTGCGCTGCCACCTGCCTGGCACCTGCTTGTCACCTGCCCGACCTCTGGCCCCTGTCCCGGTTGTCACCTGCCCGTCACCCTGAGTGGCACCTGCCTGTCCCTGCCCGGTGCCCCGGCTCTCCCCTACCCGTGCTGTCACCTCCCTGTCCCTGCCCGGTGCCCCGGCTGTCCCCTACCAGTGCTGTCACCTCCCTGTCCCTGCCCGCTGTCCTGGCTGTCACCTCCCTGTCCCCTGCCCCCACCCTGAAGGGACATGGGGAGGGGTCTCCAGCAGCCGGGACCCCCACCCCAAAGAGCCCCCGCACCCCTCATGTCACCCCCCGTGTCCCTTGTCCCCCCGGCCCCGCCCCCCTGCCCGACGGCGATTGGGGGGTCCCGGGGGGCGGATTTGGGGAGAGGGATTGGGGAGGTGGGAGGAAAAGGGGGGAGAAAAGGGGGAAGAAAAGGGGGGAAAAGGGAAAATAGCAGGGGAAAAAGGGAGAAGGGGAAAGGAGGGAGGAAAGGGTGGGGAAGGAGGGAAAAGGGGAATAAAGGGGGAAAATGGGAGAAAAAGGGGAGGAAAAAAAGGGGAGGAAAAAAAGGGGAGGAAAAAAGGGGAGGGAAAAAAGGGGAGGGGAAAAAGGGGAGGGAAAAAAAGGGGGAAAAAAGGAGAGGAAAAAAAGGGAAGAAAAAAAAGGGAGGGAAAAAAAGGGAGAAAATAAAAAGGGGAGGGAAAAAAGGGGAGAAAAAATGGGAGGGAAAAAAAGGGAGGGAAAAAAGGGAGGGAAAAAAACCGGGAGGGAAAATAAGGGAGGAAATAAAAAGGGGAGGAAAAAAGGGAGGAAAAAAAGGGGAGGAAAACAAAGGGGAGGAAAAACAGGGGAGGGGAAAAAAGGGGAGAAAAAAAAGGAAGAAAAAAAAGGGAGGAAAAAAGGGAGGGAAAAAAGGGGAGGAAAAAAAAGGGAGGAAAAAAAAGGAGGGAAAAAAGGGGAGGAAAAAGGGGAGAAGAAAAAGGGGAGAAAAAAAGGGGAGAAAAAAAGGGGAGAAAAAAAGGGGAGAAAAAAAGGGGAGAAAAAAAAGGGGAGGAGAAAGAAAAGGGAGAAAAAAAGGGAGGAAATAAAAAGGGGAGGAAAAAAAAGGGAAGAAAAAAAAGGGGAGGGAAAAAAAGGGAGGAAAAAAGGGAGGAAAAAAAGGGGAGGAAAAAGGGAAGAAAAAAAAGGGAGGGAAAAAAGGGAGGAAAAAGGGGAGGAAAAAAAGGGGATGGAAAAAAGGGAGAAAATAAAAAGGGGAGGGAAAAAAGGGGAGGAAAAAAAAGTAAAGAAAAAAAGGGGAGAAAAAATAGGGGAGAAAAAAAAGGGGAGAAAAAAAAGGGGAGGGAAAAAAGGGAGGGAAAAAACGGGAAGAAAAAAAAAGGGAGAGGAAAAAAAAGGGAGGGAAAAAAGGGGAGAAAATAAAAAGGGAGGGAAAAAACGGGGAGAAAAAAAGGGGAGGGAAAAAACCGGGAGGAAATAAAAAGGGAGGAAAAAAAAGGAAGAGAAAAAAAGGGGAGGGAAAAAAGGGAGAAAAAACGGGAAGGAAAAAAAGGGGAGGGAAAAAAAGGGGAGGGAAAAAAGGGGAGGAAAAAAGGGAAGAAAAAAAAGGGAGGGAGGGGAGGAAAAAAAAAGGGAGGAAAAAAAGAAAGGAAAAAAAAGGGGAGGGAAAAAAGGAGGCAAAAAGGGGGAGGAAAAAAAGGGGAGGAAAAAAAAGGGGAGAAAAAAAGGGAAGAAAAAAAAGGGAGAGGAAAAAAAAAAGGGAGAGGAAAAAAAAGGGAGGGAAAAAAGGGGAGAAAATAAAAAGGGAGGGAAAAAACGGGGAGAAAAAAAGGGGAGGGAAAAAACCGGGAGGAAATAAAAAGGGAGGAAAAAAAAGGAAGAGAAAAAAAGGGGAGGGAAAAAAGGGAGAAAAAACGGGAAGGAAAAAAAGGGGAGGGAAAAAAAGGGGAGGGAAAAAAGGGGAGAAAAAATGGGAGGGAAAAAAAGGGAGGGAAAAAAGGGAGGGAAAAAAACCGGGAGGGAAAATAAGGGAGGAAATAAAAAGGGGAGGAAAAAAGGGAGGAAAAAAAGGGGAGGAAAACAAAGGGGAGGAAAAACAGGGGAGGGGAAAAAAGGGGAGAAAAAAAAGGAAGAAAAAAAAGGGAGGAAAAAAGGGAGGGAAAAAAAGGGAGAAAAAAAAGGGGAGGAAAAAAAGGGGAGGAAAAAATTGGGAAAAGAGGGAAGAGAGGGGAAAGGGAAAAAAAAGGGGAGAAAAAAAAGGGGAGGAGAAAGAAAAGGGAGAAAAAAAGGGAGGAAATAAAAAGGGGAGGAAAAAAAAGGGAAGAAAAAAAAGGGGAGGGAAAAAAAGGGAGGAAAAAAGGGAGGAAAAAAAGGGGAGAAAAAAGGGAAGAAAAAAAAGGGAGGGAAAAAAGGGAGGAAAAAGGGGAGGAAAAAAAGGGGATGGAAAAAAGGGAGAAAATAAAAAGGGGAGGGAAAAAAGGGGAGGAAAAAAAAGTAAAGAAAAAAAGGGGAGAAAAAATAGGGGAGAAAAAAAAGGGGAGAAAAAAAAGGGGAGGGAAAAAAGGGAGGGAAAAAACGGGAAGAAAAAAAAAGGGAGAGGAAAAAAAAGGGAGGGAAAAAAGGGGAGAAAATAAAAAGGGAGGGAAAAAACGGGGAGAAAAAAAGGGGAGGGAAAAAACCGGGAGGAAATAAAAAGGGAGGAAAAAAAAGGAAGAGAAAAAAAGGGGAGGGAAAAAAGGGAGAAAAAACGGGAAGGAAAAAAAGGGGAGGGAAAAAAAGGGGAGGGAAAAAAGGGGAGAAAAAATGGGAGGGAAAAAAAGGGAGGGAAAAAAGGGAGGGAAAAAAACCGGGAGGGAAAATAAGGGAGGAAATAAAAAGGGGAGGAAAAAAGGGAGGAAAAAAAGGGGAGGAAAACAAAGGGGAGGAAAAACAGGGGAGGGGAAAAAAGGGGAGAAAAAAAAGGAAGAAAAAAAAGGGAGGAAAAAAGGGAGGGAAAAAAAGGGAGAAAAAAAAGGGGAGGAAAAAAAGGGGAGGAAAAAATTGGGAAAAGAGGGAAGAGAGGGGAAAGGGAAAAAAAAGGGGAGAAAAAAAAGGGGAGGAGAAAGAAAAGGGAGAAAAAAAGGGAGGAAATAAAAAGGGGAGGAAAAAAAAGGGAAGAAAAAAAAGGGGAGGGAAAAAAAGGGAGGAAAAAAGGGAGGAAAAAAAGGGGAGAAAAAAGGGAAGAAAAAAAAGGGAGGGAAAAAAGGGAGGAAAAAGGGGAGGAAAAAAAGGGGATGGAAAAAAGGGAGAAAATAAAAAGGGGAGGGAAAAAAGGGGAGGAAAAAAAAGTAAAGAAAAAAAGGGGAGAAAAAATAGGGGAGAAAAAAAAGGGGAGAAAAAAAAGGGGAGGGAAAAAAGGGAGGGAAAAAACGGGAAGAAAAAAAAAGGGAGAGGAAAAAAAAGGGAGGGAAAAAAGGGGAGAAAATAAAAAGGGAGGGAAAAAACGGGGAGAAAAAAAGGGGAGGGAAAAAACCGGGAGGAAATAAAAAGGGAGGAAAAAAAAGGAAGAGAAAAAAAGGGGAGGGAAAAAAGGGAGAAAAAACGGGAAGGAAAAAAAGGGGAGGGAAAAAAAGGGGAGGGAAAAAAGGGGAGAAAAAATGGGAGGGAAAAAAAGGGAGGGAAAAAAGGGAGGGAAAAAAACCGGGAGGGAAAATAAGGGAGGAAATAAAAAGGGGAGGAAAAAAGGGAGGAAAAAAAGGGGAGGAAAACAAAGGGGAGGAAAAACAGGGGAGGGGAAAAAAGGGGAGAAAAAAAAGGAAGAAAAAAAAGGGAGGAAAAAAGGGAGGGAAAAAAAGGGAGAAAAAAAAGGGGAGGAAAAAAAGGGGAGGAAAAAATTGGGAAAAGAGGGAAGAGAGGGGAAAGGGAAAAAAAAGGGGAGAAAAAAAAGGGGAGGAGAAAGAAAAGGGAGAAAAAAAGGGAGGAAATAAAAAGGGGAGGAAAAAAAAGGGAAGAAAAAAAAGGGGAGGGAAAAAAAGGGAGGAAAAAAGGGAGGAAAAAAAGGGGAGAAAAAAGGGAAGAAAAAAAAGGGAGGGAAAAAAGGGAGGAAAAAGGGGAGGAAAAAAAGGGGATGGAAAAAAGGGAGAAAATAAAAAGGGGAGGGAAAAAAGGGGAGGAAAAAAAAGTAAAGAAAAAAAGGGGAGAAAAAATAGGGGAGAAAAAAAAGGGGAGAAAAAAAAGGGGAGGGAAAAAAGGGAGGGAAAAAACGGGAAGAAAAAAAAAGGGAGAGGAAAAAAAAGGGAGGGAAAAAAGGGGAGAAAATAAAAAGGGAGGGAAAAAACGGGGAGAAAAAAAGGGGAGGGAAAAAACCGGGAGGAAATAAAAAGGGAGGAAAAAAAAGGAAGAGAAAAAAAGGGGAGGGAAAAAAGGGAGAAAAAACGGGAAGGAAAAAAAGGGGAGGGAAAAAAAGGGGAGGGAAAAAAGGGGAGGAAAAAAGGGAAGAAAAAAAAGGGAGGGGAAAAAATGGGGAGAAAAAAAAGGGGAGGGAAAAAAAAGGGAGGAAAAAAAGAAAGGAAATAAAAGGGGAGGGAAAAAAGGAGGCAAAAAGGGGGAGGAAAAAAAGGGGAGGAAAAAAAAGGGGAGAAAAAAAGGGAAGAAAAAAAAGGGAGAGGAAAAAAAGGGAGGAAAAAAAAGGGGAGGAAAAAAAGGGAGAGGAAGAAAAGGGAGGAAATAAAAAAGGGAGGGAAAAAAGGGGAGAAAAAACCTGGGAAAAGGGGAAAGAACGGGGAAAGGGAATAAAAAAGGGAGGGAGGGGAGAAGGGGGAGGGGCGCAGGGGCAGCCCCCAGACTCACCAGGTACCCGAAGCGGATGGTGGAGATCTTGGCCTGCACCACGGACCAGAGCCCCCAGAAGAAGTGAGAGGCCAGGGCGAAGCTGGGGGGAACGGGCACTGAGAGCCCGGCCCCGCACCCCAAAAACACCCACGGCACGGGGCGGGGCCGCCGCGGGGGTGCGAGGGGCAGGGAGCCCCAAAATGGCACAGGGACCCCAAAAGTGGCACAAACACCCCCAAAGGAGGGCACAGAGACCCCAAAAGTGGCACAAACACCCCCAAAGGAGGGCACAGAGGACCCCAAAGTGGCACAGAGACCCCCAAAGGAGGGCACAGAGGACCCCAAAAGTGGCACAGAGACCCCCAAAAATCACACAGAGGACCCCAAAGAGTGGCACAGACACCCCCAAAGTGGCACAGACACCCCCAAAGGAGGGCACAGAGGACCCCAAAGGAGGCACAGAGACCCCAAAAGTGGAACAGGAACCCCCAAAGGAGGGCACAGAGACCCTAAAATGGCACAGGGACCCCAAATGGGGGCACAGAGACCCCAAATGGGGGCACGGAGACCCCAAAATGGGGGCACAGAGGGCCCCAAATAGAGGTACAAAGTCCCCCCAAAGTCCCACTGAGGACCCCAAAGAGTGGCACAGACACCCCAAAGTGGCACAGAGACCCCAAATGGAGGCACAGAAACCCCAAATCTTGGCAGAGAGAACCCCAAAAGCGGCACGGAAACCTCAGAGGTAGAAAGACCCCCCAAAATCAGAGAGGACCCCAAAAGTGGCACAGACACCCCCAAAGTGGAACAGAAACCCCCAAATGCGGTCACAGAGGACCCCAAAAAGTGGCACAGACACCCCCAAAATGGAGCAGAAACCCCCAAAGGAGGGCATAGAGGACCCCAGAAGTGGCACAGACACCCCCAAAAGTGGAACAGGAACCCCCAAAGGAGGGCACAGAACACCCCAAAAGTGGCACAGACACCCCCAAAGGAGGGCACAGAGGACCCCAAAGGAGGCACAGAGACCCCCAAGTACAAACAGAGGTACGCCCCCCCCAGCCCGCAGAGGCCCCCAAAGGAGGCACGGAGACCCCCAGGTACAGAGGTACACGCCCCCCAGCCCGCAGAGCCCCCCGAGGCGCCGCGGCCCCGCAGCCCGGCCCGGTACCGCTCGATCTCCCGCAGCATCTCCTCCTCCAGGCGCTGCTGCTCCTCCCGCGGGGCCCGCCCGGGGCCGGCCCGCAGCTCCGCCAGGTAGTGCCGGATGAAATGGAGCTGGGGGCAGCGGTGGGAGTGGGGCCGCGACCCCCGGGGACAGCCCGGCCCCAAAGGGACCCCCGGGGACACCAAAGGGACTCCCGGGGACCGCCCGGCCCCAAAGGGACCCTCGGGGACACCAAAGGGACCCCCGGGGACACCAAAGGGACCCCAAGGGACACGGAGCACAGAGGTGAAACCCCAAATCCCACTGGGGTCACGGAGCACAGGGGTGAAACCCCAAATCCCACCGGGGTCACGGAGTGCGAGCGACCCCCGGGCACCCCTAAAATCCCCCAAGGAGCCCCCCAAGCCCCCGGGAGCCCCAAGCCCACCGGTAGTTGTAGCTGCTGTACTCGAAGTCGATGAGCATGAGCCGCTCCGAGGAGCCCTCGCGCCCCGCCAGGAGCAGGATGTTCCCTGCGGGGTCGGCACCGGGGTTTGGGGTTTGGATTTGGGGGTTTGGGGGGGCTCGGGGACAGGGACACCCCCGTGGCACTCACCCTCCTGCACGTCGTTGTGGCAGAAGACCACCGGGGACGGGGTGGCCTCCAGCAGGTCCCTGATGGGAGAGAGGGGCTCGGAGGGGACAGGGGAGGGGACAGGGGGACAGCCCGGGGACAGCCTGGGGACATGGGGGGATCCCTGGACATGGGGGAACACCAGGGGTACGGGGACATGGGGACATGAGGGACAGCCTGGGGACATGGGGGGATCCCTGGACATGGGGGAACACCAGGGGTACGGGGACATGGGGACATGAGGGACAGCCTGGGGACATGGGGGGATCCCTGGACATGGGGGAACACCAGGGGTACGGGGACATGGGGACATGAGGGACAGCCTGGGGACATGGGGGGATCCCTGGACATGGGGGAACACCAGGGGTACGGGGACATGGGGACATGAGGGACAGCCTGGGGACATGGGGGGATCCCTGGACATGGGGGAACACCAGGGGTACGGGGACATGGGGACATGAGGGACAGCCTGGGGACATGGGGGGATCCCTGGACATGGGGGAACACCAGGGGTACGGGGACATGGGGACATGAGGGACAGCCTGGGGACATGGGGGGATCCCTGGACATGGGGGAACACCAGGGGTACGGGGACATGGGGACATGAGGGACAGCCTGGGGACATGGGGGGATCCCTGGACATGGGGGAACACCAGGGGTACGGGGACATGGGGACATGAGGGACAGCCTGGGGACATGGGGGGATCCCTGGACATGGGGGAACACCAGGGGTACGGGGACATGGGGACATGAGGGACAGCCTGGGGACATGGGGGGATCCCTGGACATGGGGGAACACCAGGGGTACGGGGACATGGGGACATGAGGGACAGCCTGGGGACATGGGGGGATCCCTGGACATGGGGGAACACCAGGGGTACGGGGACATGGGGACATGAGGGACAGCCCGGGGACAGGGGGGGATCCCTGGACATGGGGACATGAGGGACAGCCTGGGGACATGGAGGGATCCTGGGATATGGGGGTACAGCAGGGGTACGGGGACATGGGGACATGAGGGACAGCCCGGGGACATGGGGGGACACCAGGGGTACAGGGACACGGGGGATGTGGGGATATGGGGCATGAGGGCACAGAGACTTGGGGACAAGGGGGACACCCGGCATACAGGGAGGGAGGGGACACAGGGAAATGGGGACATGGGGACATCAGGGACATGGGATACAGGGACATGGAGGTGGTCCAAGGAGATGGGGACACAGGATATGGGGGATACAGGGGACACTGCAAGGACATGGGGGGACACAGGTGACACCAGGGACATATGTGGGGCATGGGGGACACCGGGGATAGGAGGACAAAGGGGACATGAGGGACACAGCGGGGGACCTGAGATAGAGGGGACACTGGGGACATGGGGGACACCAGGGACACAGGGGACAGAGGGACACCAGGGACATGGGGGACAGAGGGAGACACAGGGAGGGACAGAAGCACGGACGCCGCGGCCAGGGGCCGGGGGGGACACCCGTCAGGGATCCCCAAAAACAGGACACAAAAAACAGGAGACACCAAAAACACGGGACACCAAAAACACGGGACACCCGTCAGGGATCCCCAAAAACAGGACACAAAAAACAGGAGACACCAAAAACACGGGACACCAAAAACACGGGACACCCATCAGAGATCTCCAAAACGGGGCCCCAAAACCACGGGACACCCATCAGGGATCCCCAAAAACGGGACACCAAATCGGGGCACAAAAAACATGAGACACCAATCAGGGATCCCCAAATTGGGACACAAAAAACACAGGACGCCAATCAGGGATCCCCAAAAACGGGACACCAAATCGGGACACAAAAAACATGAGACACCAATCAGGGATCCCCAAATCGGGACACAAAAAACATGAGACACCAATCAGGGAACCCCAGAAACGGGACACCAAATCGGGGCACAAAAAACATGAGACACCAATCAGGGAACCCCAGAAACGGGACACCAAATCGGGGCACAAAAAACATGAGACACCAATCAGGGAACCCCAGAAACGGGACACCAAATCGGGGCACAAAAAACATGAGACACCAATCAGGGAACCCCAGAAACGGGACACCAAATCAAATCAGGACACCAAAAACACGGGACACCAATCAGGGATCCCCAAATTGGGACACCAAAAACACACAACACCAATCAGGGATCCCCAAAAACGGGACACCAAAACCTTGGGACTCCAAAATGGGATTCCCAGAAACGGGACCCCAAATCGGGACACAAAAACCACGAGACTACAAATAGGGGCCACAGAAATGGGACCCCAAATCGGGACACAAAAAACATGGGACACAAATCAGGGATCCCCAAAAACGGGACACAAAAAACATGGGACACAAATCAGGGATCCCCAAAAATGGGACCCGAAATCGGGACACCAAAAACACGGGACCACAAATAGGGGCACCAGAAATGGGACCCCAAATCGGGATGCCAAAAATGGGGCCACAATTAGAGACCCCAAAAACGGGACCCCAAATCGGGACACAAAAACCACGAGACTACAAATAGGGGCACCAGAAATGGGACCCCAAATCGGGATGCCAAAAATCATGGGACTCCAAAATGAGATCCCCAAAAATGGGACCCCAAATTGGGGATACCAAAAACATGGGACTCTAAAATGAGATCCCCAAAAACGGGACCCCAAATCAGGACACAAAAAACACGGGACGCCAAATAGGGATCATAAAAACGGGATCACAAATAGGGATCTCCAAATCAGGACTCCAAAAAGGGACCCCAAAAACGGGACCACAAATGGGGACCCCAAAATAGGATCCCAAAAATGAGACACCAAATAGGGGGTCATAAAAACGGGGCACCAAATAGGGATCCCCAAAACAGGACACCAAAAAAGGGACACCAGAAAAATGGGACCCCAAACAGGGAACCCCAAATGGAACCTCAAAAAAACTACACCACAAACACCGCACCAAACACGGGACCCCAAAAACGGGGCAAACAGGACACCAAAAAAGGGACACCAAAAAAATGGGACCCCAAACAGGGAACCCCAAATGGAACCTCAAAAAAACTACACCCACAAACACCTCACCAAAAACGGGACCCCAAAAAAAGGGACAGAAAAATGGGACCTAAAAAACGGGACCCCAATATCGGTACCCCAACCTGAGACCCCAACGCAGCTCCCCCAAAACTGAGGCCCCAACAGAGGTACCCCCAAACCGGGATCCCAACCCCAGCACCCCAAGGAGCCTCAGGACCCCAACCCCAGGGGGAGGGCACCCAAAAATCTTAATCCCAGGGGTTCCCATGGGGTTTGGGGTCTCGGGGGTCCCATGTGATTTGGGGTCTTGAGGGGTCCCATGGGGTTCCACAGGGTTTGGGGTCTCAGGGGTCCCCATGGGGTGTGGCTGTCCCCCAACCCCAGCACCCCCACCCCAGCAGGATCCCCGATCCCGGGGGGTTCCCTTGGTGTCCCCGCGGGGTTTGGGGTCCCCAGGGGTGTGGCTGTCCCCTCACCTGCAGCATGGCCCTGGACCCCCCAACCCCAGCACCCCCCACCCCACAGCAGGATCCCCGATCCCGGGGGGTGTCCCTTGGTGTCCCCGCGGGGTGTGGGGTCCCTCGGTGTCCCCAGGGGCGTGGCTGTCCCCTCACCTGCAGGATGGCCCCGTAGACACGCAGCAGCACCTGCCGGGGCTCGTCCCCCACGCTCTGCACGTGCTCGGGCAGCGCGCACTTGTACAGCAGGTTACTGAGCCCCCCGCTGCGGGACAGGGACAGCGGCGACATGGGGACACCCCGGGGACATGGGGACACCGGGGGGGACATGGGGACACCGCAGGGACACCGCGGGGACATGGGGACACCGGGGGGGACATGGGGGACACCCGCTCAGGACGTGCCCAGGCAGCGCACAGGAGTCACTGACACCCCCGCTGTGGGATTTTGGGGGGTCAGGGGACACTGGGGGACACCGAGGTGGTAGCGGGGGACACGGGGCACCTGGCAGGAGATGGGGACACTGGGGACGATGGAGGGGGGACACCGGGAGAGTGGGGACACCAGTCCGTGGGGACAACCCAACTAGGGGACAGGGATGCTGGTCTGGGGGGCGACTGGGAGGGGACACTGGGACACGGTCCCGTGGGCAGCTGGGGACACTGGGGGACAGGGATGCTGGCTCGGGGTGGGACAGCTGGGGACACTGGGAGAGGGTCGGGGAAGGGACAGGGACACTGTGAGGGACACCGGGCTATTGGTCATGGGGGCAGCTGGGGGACACTGGGCTACTGGTCCGGAGGGCAGCGGGGACACTGGGAGGGGACTGGGACACAGGTCTGGGGACACTGTGAGGGGACAGGGACACCGCTCCGGGGGACAGCGGGGCGCTGTGAGGGGACAGGGATGGGGACAGGGAGGGGACACGGATGGGGACAGGGATGGGACAGGGATGGGGACACAGATGGGGACAGGGAGGGGACACGGAGGGGACAGGGAGAGGACAAGGAGGGGACACGGATGGGGACAGGGACACCGCTCCGGGGACAGCGGGGCGCTGCGAGGGGACAGGGAGGGGACAAGGAGGGGACACGGAGGGACAGGGATGGGGACAGGGAGGGGACAGGGAGGGGCCACGGATGGGGACAGGGAGGGGACAAGGAGGGGACACGGACACCGCTCCGGGGACAGCGGGGCGCTGCGAGGGACGCTTCCCCGAACCCCGGGACGAGACCACCGCGGAGAGGGCGGGGGGGGGAGCGCCTCTCGCCCGTTCCGCTTCCTACCCGATGGGCCAGATGCCGAACTCGTCCGGGCCGATGAGCTTCCAGGAGCCGGCCAGGAACTCGCGGCACCAGGCGTAGGCCTGCAGTCGGGTGGCGGCGGGGACATCGCCGTCCGCGCCGCCGCTGCCGCCGCCCCCCGCCGCCGCCGCCATGGTCGCCCCTGCCCCGTCCCGCTCGGCCTGGGTGGGGCCCGGGCAGCTTCTAACCAATAACAACGCTATTGTCTGATTGACGGTTTAATCGACCAATAGAAAGACGCCTCGGGGAGGTGGCGCGTGCGCGGCGGCCAATGGGCGTGCTCGGCGGGATGCGGCGGAACGTGGAGGTGAAGGCGCGGCTGAGGGCGCGGGAGGAAGCGCTGAGGGCGGCCCTCAGGCTGCGGGGGCCGGGCCCGGAGTGCCCGGTGTGCCCCGGGGCCGGGCCGGGCACAGGTGAGGGGCAGGAGCCGCCCCAGGTGTGCCCCGGGGCCGGGCAGCTGCTGCTCCAGACCGACACGTTCTTCCGGGTGCCGCGGGGGCGGCTCAAGCTGCGCCGGACACAGGTGAGGGAGGGCTGGAGGGGCCTGGCCCTGGCCCTGTCCTCACCTGTGCCCACATGTCCCATTCTCACTTGTCCCTGTCCCCATCCCCGTGCTCAGCTGTCCCTGTCCCTCACCTGTCCCCACCCGTGGCTGTCCCCAGGATGGCAGTGGGGAGCTGATTTTCTACGAGCGCCCCGACAGCGCCGGCCCCAAACTGTCCAGGTTCAGCATCACCCCCACGGCCGACCCCGAGGGGCTGCAGGTGAGCGGGGCTGGGGCTGGGGGTGTGTGCTGTCCCAGTCCCTGGGCCCTGTGTCACCCCTGTCACCCCTGTCCCCGTGTCCCCAGGCGGTGCTGTCCCAGTCCCTGGGCGTGCTGGGCACGGTGAGGAAGGAGCGGCTCCTGCTCCTGCTGGGCCAGACCCGGCTGCACCTGGACCGGGTGCAGGGCCTGGGCGACTTCCTGGAGCTGGAGGTGAGGGGACACGGGGGGTGGCAGCCCGGGTGACCCCAGGTGGCCGCGGCCGGCACCCCGGGTGACGCGGGTGGCCGCAGGTGGTGCTGGGGCCGGAGCAGAGCGAGGAGGACGGGCGGCGCCGGGCGCGGGAGCTGCTGCGGGAGCTGGGGGTCGGGGAGCACGACCTCATCTCTGGGGCCTACCTGGACCTGCTGCTGGCACAGGGGGACAGCGGGGACACCCCCCCGTGCCACCCCCCGGCTGGGCAGGGACAGCAGGGCTGAGGGCACGGGGACCTGGTGGCTGTGCCCACCCCATAAACACGCTGTGCCTTGTCCCACCCCATAAACACGCTGTGCCCTGTTCCATGCCATAGTACACACTGTGCCCCCGTGGACACCCTGTGCCCACCCCACAGACACCCTGTGCCCCCTATGGACATCATGTGCCACCCTGTAAACGCCCTGTGCCCCCATGGACATCATGTGCCCCCTATGGACACCCTAAACCCCTCCATGGAAAACCTGTGCCTTGTCCCACCCCACAGACACCCTGTGCCCACCCCATAAACACCCTCTATCCCCTGTGGACACCCTGTGCCCCTATGGACACCCTAAACCCCTCCATGGAAAACCTGTGCCTTGTCACACCCCATAGACACCCCGTGCCCCCATGGACATCATGTGCCACCCTGTAAACACCCTGTGCCCCTATGGACACCCTGTGCCCACCCCACAGATAACCCCACCCCATAACGCCCCCCAGAAACCCCATACCCACCCCACAGACACCCCCTGCCCTGTTCCACCCCACAGACACCCCCAGCCCCAGCCCCCCCTAGAAACCCCACCACTGTCCCCTCCTGTCCCCCCTGTCCCCCTCCATGGCCCCCCTGTCCCCCCACCCTCGGTCACCAATAAACTCCGGGCCCGCCCCGTGTCCGTGTCCAGCTGTGCCCATTCCTGGTGGTCCCCTCGGGCCACCCTGTCCCCCCCGTGTGACATCCCCGGGCTCGGGGGTGGCAGCAATGCCCGGCCCCGATCCCGGATTATGTCCGGAGCCTCGGGATGTGCCGGGGGGGCTGGGGGTGACAGATGGGTGACGGGGGGTGGTGGCATCTGTGCCAGCTGCTGCCGTTGCCACCCGAGCCTGCCCGGGGGGGGGGAATTGAGGCTGGAAAATCCCCTGGGATCCGGCGGACAAAGGCCACCCCCCCCGTGTCCCCAAGTGCCACATCCGTGGGGCTGGAAACCCCTGCGGGGATGGTGATCCCAAACCTTTTCTGGGAGTTTTCCCAAATTTTCCAAAGGTGGCCGCGGTGAGGCCCCAGCTGGAATCCTGGAGAGCCCTGGAGGGGCTGGAATGGGGCCAGGGAAGGGAACGGGGCTGGGAAGGGCTGGAAAGTTCCACAGGGATTTGGGATTTGGGCTGGAAAACTCTAGAAGGTTTTGGGGTTTGGGCTGGAACACTCCCTGGGAATTCTGTGCTCACGCCCCCGTGAGAATTCCCAGCACATCCCGGTTATCCAGGTAGTGAGCCCTGGGAAAAGAGAGAGTGGCCTCAGCCTGGCCAATGGGGATATTTGGGATACTTTTCCATGGAAAGGGACCAAGCCTTGGCAGGGGCCAGAAGAATCCCGGAACATCCGGAGCAGGATCCCAAAGGAGCATCGAGCCCAGCCGATCGTTGGAAATCCTTTGAAGTCCCTTAAAGCCACAATTCCTGTTGGGAGTTTGGGAATCCCTGGGCTTGGTTTTTAGGGAATGGATGGATGGATGGATGGATGGATGGATGGATGATGGATGGATGATGGATGGATGGGGATGTTGGGAGGGTTTGCAATGGGGACGTTGGGATGGATGGGAATTTCGGGAAGGGGCACATGCAGGAGTGAGCCATGGAGGGGGTTGGGGTGCCCTGGGTGTCCCCTGGGCCCTGTGGGGGGCACTGAAGTGGCCTCGGCCTCACTTGGGGACACGGGGGTGGCACTGAGGGAACGGGGGACACAGGGGGGCACTGAAGGAATTGGGGGGCAGGGGGAATTTCGGGAAGGGGCACATGCAGGAGTGAGCCATGGAGGGGGTTGGGGTGCCCTGGGTGTCCCCTGGGCCCTGTGGGGGGCACTGAAGTGGCCTCGGCCTCACTTGGGGACACGGGGGTGGCACTGAGGGAATTGGGGACACAGGGGGACACTGAAGGAATTGGGGACATGGGGGTGGCACTGAGGGAACGGGGGACACAGGGGGGCACTGAAGGAATTGGGGGGCAGGGGGATGGCACTGAGGGAATTGGGGGACACACGGGGACACTGAGAGACCCCACATCCCACGGGTGGCAGCGCGGGGGTCCCATTGCCCGCCCCCCAAACTGGGGCCGTCCCTGGTGTCCCCGCGGCGGCCGCTGTCCGGCCCTGGCTGCAGCACCAGGGACAGCTCCGCTCGGGCCCCGCGCGGCTCCCGGCGCCGCTCAGCCTCCCTAGAGAGCGGGGCCCGGGCCCCTATAGAGCCCTGACCCCCTTATAGGCCCCCCCGATCCCCTATAGACCCCTCGGATCCCCTCCAGACCCCCAATCCCCTGCAGACCCCTGAGCCCCTGTGCTCTGCTCCCGGTCCCCACAGGGCTCCTGTCCCCTCTTACCGACCCCACAGACCCCCTGAGCCCCTTATGGATCCCTCAGCACCCCTGCAGAGCTTCGGGATCCCCTATAGACCCCCCCCGATCCCCTATAGCCCCTCTGCNNTCCTCCCTCTCCCCCCGAGGCTCCCGCAGCTCCTCCCGCCCCTCTCCCCGCTTTTCCCGCAGCTCCTCCTCCCTCTCCCCCCCTTTCCCGCAGCTCCTCCTCCCTCTCCCCCCCTTTCCCGCAGCTCCTCCCGCCGCTCCCCCCCCGCTCCCGCAGCTCCGCAGTCCGGCGCAGCCCCGGCCGGAGAAAATGGCGGATCGCGCCGAGATGTTCTCGCTCTCCACCTTCCACTCGCTCTCCCCGCCCGGCTGCCGGTGAGCGGGGGATGCGCGGGGGATGCGCGGGGGGGATGCGGGGTCGCGCTGCCCTTCCCCTCCCGGATGGGGGTCGGGGTGCGGGCCGGGGTCGGGGTGCGGGCCCCGGGCCGGGCTGGCGCAGTGCGGGGCCGAGCCGCCCGGCAGGGGAACGGGAAGGGCAGGAGGCGGCGGTGAGGGGCACCGGGAGGGCCCCGGGGATGCGGGAGCTGCGGAGAGAGGAGCAGGGGACAGCGGGGCTGCGGGACGTGCCCTTGGGTGGCTGTGGCCTGTGCTGGGCAGGGCTCCCCTTCTCTGAGCATCCCCGTCCCCAGGTTGTCCCCGTCCCCAGGTTGTTCCCATCCCTGAGCATCCGCTGGCTCGGATTGTCCCCTCCCTCAGCATCCCCGTCCCCAAGGATGTCCCCTTCCCTCAGCATCCCCGTCCCCAAGGATGTCCCCTTCTCTGAGCATCCCCGTCCCCAAGGATGTCCCTTTCTCTGAGCATCGCTGTGCCCAGGATGTCCCTGTCGCCGGGCTGTCCCCTTCCCGGGCCGCAGCGCAGCAGGGCCCCGGGCTGTCCCTGCCCGCGGTGGCGCAGGGAGGGGACGCCACGGCCTCGCCGGGGCTGCTCGGCCCCGGGCCGGGCCCTGGGGCAGCCGGGCCCAGTCCGGGCAGCGGGAGCTGTGCCCGGAGCCATCCCAAAACCCGGGGCCGCTCCCTGGGGCTGCTGGGGCTGCGCTCGGGTCCCCCCGGGCGTGGCGAGATCCAGCCGGGAATGGTGAGGGAGAACCCGAACACGGCTGAGCCTTTCCCAAGGAGCCGCGGCGAGCCCAGCCCGGCTTGGGGTGGCCGGAGGGGTGGGACCCCCTGGCCGGAGAGGGGAGGCTGGAATGGGCTGGGAATGCCCGATGTGGGAATGGATGCTCGATGTGGGAATGCTCGATGTGGGAATGGATGCCCGATGTGGGAATGGATGCTCGATGTGGGAATGCTCGATGTGGGAATGGATGCCCGATGTGGGAATGGATGCCCGATGTGGGAATGGATACCCGATGTGGGAATGGATGCTCGATGTGGGAATGCTCCTTCGATGTGGGAATGCTCGATGAGGGAATTCCAGGCGCGCACGCAGCCGGGCCTTGGGATGGCTCCCACCTCCCGCTCGGGCCGTGGCAGCCCCAGGTGCCAGTCAGGAGCCCCGGCTCCCCAATTTGGGGTGACCACGGGGTCAGAGCCGGCTCCGGGAGCGGGCGGGGGTCCCCTCCGCAGGGAGCGGCTGGCGGGGATGAGGAAATTCCACCCGCCGGCAGCGCTCCCCGGGGAGCCCGGCCCTGGCAGCGCTGGCACCGCCGGTGCCCCCCGCCCAGCCCTCCCGGCCCCGTGCCCCCCGCCAGGTGACGCTGGGCCCCTTTGGGGTCCCCTCCGGCCCATCCCGGCCGGTTCCAGCCCTTCCCGATCCCCTCCGCCTGTGCGGGGCTGGGTGAGACCCCCTGGCCTTGTCCCCGCCCTCGGCTCCGCTCCCGTCCCTCGGTGCCAGCCGGAGTGTCCCCAAGGTGGGGACAGGCACTGTCCTTGTTCCCGCTGCTGATCTCTGCTCGACCAGCCCGGTCCCCGGGGGTCCCATCGGGGCTGGGTGGGCTCTCACTGCTGGTCCGTCCCCATGCCACTGTGACCCCCCCATCCCACCATAGTGTCCCCATCCCACTGTGACCCTGCACCCCACCACAGTGTCCCCATGCCCTGTGACCCCTTCATCCCACCACAGTGTCCCCATCCCACTGTGACCCCCTCATCCCATCACAGTGTCCCCATCCCATTGTGTCATTCCCACGCCACTGTGCCATTCCCATCCCACCACAGTGTCCCCATCCCACTGTGTCATTCCCACCCCATGTGACCATCCCAACCCAAAGCAGTGTCCCCATCCCTCCATGTCATTCCCACCCCACCGCAGTGTCCCCATCCCATTATCCCATCCCATTATCCCATCCCATTATCCCATCCCATTTTCCCATCCCATTCCCGTGTCCCCCAGCCAGGAGCAGGAGCTGCTCCCCCAGTGAGGAGGGTCCAGGGGTGCAGGAGGGGACCCCGAGGTCCCCAGGAGGTCTCAGCCCCCCTGCCCCTGTCCCCCTGCGTGCCCACAGGACCCCCTAAGACCCCGGGGACAGCAGAGGGTCCCGGGGCTCTTCCTGCAGGGGGGCAGCCCCCGATTTTCTGTGGGGTTGGGGAGATGGCTCTGCACCCCAAAGGGCTCTGCACCCCAAAGGGCTCTGCACCCCAAAGGGCTCTGCTCCCTGACATGCTGGGGTCTCTACCCCAATATCCTGGGCTTTGCACCCCGATATTCTGGGATCTGCACCTCAATATCCCAGGGCTCTGGTCCCCAACACCCCTGGGCTCTGCACCCCAAAAGGCTCTGCTCCCCGACACCCCGAGACTGCTCCTCAGCATTCTGGGGCTCTGCTCCCCAGAAAATCAGGTCCCTGTGCCCCAAAGGGCTCTGCACCCCAAAACCCTGGGCTGTGCACCCCAAAGGGCTCTGCACCCCAAAACCCTGGGCTGTGCACCCCAAAGGGCTCTGCATCCCAACACCCTGGGCTGTGCACCCCAACACCTCAGGGTTCTGCTCCCTGACATCCTGGGATTCTGCACCCCAAAACCCCGAGGCTCTGTTCCTCAGTATCCCAGGTTCAGATCCCTATAACCCAACAGGATCTGCACCCCAAAACCCCGGGGCTCTGTTCCTCAGTATCCCAGGTTCAGATCCCTATAACCCAACAGGATCTGCACCCCAAAACCCCGGGGCTCTGTTCCTCAGTATCCCAGGTTCTGATCCCTATAACCCAACAGGATCTGCACCCCAAAACCCCGGGGCTCTGTTCCTCAGTATCCCAGGTTCAGATCCCTATAACCCAACAGGATCTGCACCCCAAAACCCCGAGGCTCTGTTCCTCAGTATCCCAGGTTCAGATCCCTATAACCCAACAGGATCTGCGCCCCAATACCCCAAAAATCTGTGCACCCCAGTATCCCAAAATGTTCTGCACACCAAAAACTTCCTGCTCCCCAACACCCCCGGGCTCCGCACCCCAACACCTCAGAGTTTGGCACCCTGAAACCCCAAAGGGTTCTGAACCCCAAAAGGTTCTGCACCTCGACATCCCATAGCTCTGCACCCCAAAATTTCTGTTCCCCTACACGCCAGGGCTGTGCACCCCGAAGGACTTTACATCCCAGGACTCTGCACCCCAAAAGTCTGAGCTCCCCAAGAGCCGGGAGCCTTCGCCCCACAGCCCCAGGGCTCCCCGTCCCCTGCGGCCTTTGGGGTCGCGCTCAGCCCCGCTCCCGCCGCAGCCCCGGCCCCGTCTCCGTTCCTGCCGCTTTTGCCCCAAATCTGCGCGGATTCGGCGCGGCCGTGCCCTACTTCTGGGAATTATGGGATTAGGGGAATCTTCCTGCCGGGGGAGCGGGATCGGGAGCGGCTGCACCGCGGGGGGGGGACAGGGGACAGCCCTGGGCCCCCTTTGGGGTCCGACCCTGCTGCCACCCTGCCGGCTGAGCCCCCGCCCCTGCCCGAGCCCACCCGGCTGTCCCCAACCCCACCGAGGGGTCCCACTGGTGCCCAGGTGCTGCTGGGGGACCCTGGGTGTCCCCAACCCCACCGAGGGGTCCCACTGGTGCCCAGGTGCTGCTGGGGGACCCTGGGTGTCCCCAACCCCACCGAGGGTGGGCACAGGGTCCCTGCTGCTGGGGGACCCTGGGTGTCCCCAGCCCCACCGAGGGTGGGCACAGGGTCCCACTGGTGCCCAGGTGCTGCTGGGGGACCCTGGCTGTCCCCAACCCCACCGAGGGTGGGCACAGGGTCCCACTGGTGCCCAGGTGCTGCCACACCCCCCTGGGGACAAGCTGGGTGTCCTGGGTGTCCCCAGCCCCATGGAAGGTGGCAGAGGGTCCTACTGGCACCTGGCTGCTGCCACACCCCCCTGGGGACACGCTCGGGGTCCTGCGTGTCCCCAACCCCACCGAGGGTGGGCACAGGGTCCCACAGGTGCCCAGGGGCTGCTGGGGGACCCTGGGTGTCCCCAACCCCACCGAGGGTGGGCACAGGGTCCCAGTGGCACCTGGCTGCTGCCACACACCCCTGGGGCTGGTCCTGTGTCCCCAACCCCATGGAGGGTCACCAGAGGGTCCCAGTGGCACCCAGGCTGTATCTTCCCCCTCACCGAGCCCCCCAAACCCCCCGTTTCTGTTTTCCACTCCCAAACGCTGCCGGGATTTCGGGATTTTGGGATTTCTCTCGGTTCCGTTGCTCCCGCAGGAGCCGCTGGTTTCCATGGCAGCCCCGTTCCCTGGGAATGCGCTCAGGGCCCCTCGGGGTGTCACAGCCCGGTCCCCTTTGTCACCCCAGCCACGCCGGTGCGACCCCCCAGCAGCACGGGTCACCCCAAACCTGGTGACGGTCCCCTCCCCACCTCGGCTCCAGGATTCTGGGAATTTGGGACATGTGGTGGCCTCGGCACCTCCGCGGTGCCACCGCCTGGTGACAGCAGTGTGGTGACGCGTGCCCGTGGCTGTCCTGTGCCAGCGCCCAGGGGTGACAGGGTTGTGGTGACGTGTCCCTGTGTTATGGTGACATGTCCCTGTGCTGGCACTAAGGAGCGACAGGGTTTGGTGCCACGTCTGTGTGGCACCCGGGGGTGACAGGATTTGATGCCACGTCCCTGTGTTATGGTGACATGTCCCTGTGGTTGTCCCATGCTGGCACCAAGGGGTGGCAGGGTTTTAAAGGTGACAGGTCCATGTGGCACCAGGAGTGACAGGGTTATGGTGACATGTCTGTGTGGCACCCAGAGTGACACGGTTGTGGCGATGTGCCCCTGTGTTATGGTGACATGTCCCTGTGGTTGTCCCATGCTGGCACCAAGGGGTGACAGGGTTTTGGTGACAGGTCCATGTGGCACCCAGAGGTGACAGGGTTGTGGTCATGTGTCCCTGTGTTATGGTGACGTGTCCCTGTGGTTGTCCCATGCTGCCACTAAGGGCTGACACGGTTCTGGTGACATGCCCGTGTGGCACCAGCAGTGACAGGCGTGTGGTGCCCATGCTGGCACCAAGGGGTGGCAGGGTTTTAAAGGTGACAGGTCCATGTGGCACCAGGAGTGACAGGGTTATGGTGACATGTCTGTGTGGCACCCAGAGTGACACGGTTGTGGCGATGTGCCCCTGTGTTATGGTGACATGTCCCTGTGGTTGTCCCATGCTGGCACCAAGGGGTGGCAGGGTTTTAAAGGTGACAGGTCCATGTGGCACCAGGAGTGACAGGGTTATGGTGACATGTCTGTGTGGCACCCAGAGTGACACGGTTGTGGCGATGTGCCCCTGTGTTATGGTGACATGTCCCTGTGGTTGTCCCATGCTGGCACCAAGGGGTGGCAGGGTTTTAAAGGTGACAGGTCCATGTGGCACCAGGAGTGACAGGGTTATGGTGACATGTCTGTGTGGCACCCAGAGTGACACGGTTGTGGCGATGTGCCCCTGTGTTATGGTGACATGTCCCTGTGGTTGTCCCATGCTGGCACCAAGGGGTGGCAGGGTTTTAAAGGTGACAGGTCCATGTGGCACCAGGAGTGACAGGGTTATGGTGACATGTCTGTGTGGCACCCAGAGTGACACGGTTGTGGCGATGTGCCCCTGTGTTATGGTGACATGTCCCTGTGGTTGTCCCATGCTGGCACCAAGGGGTGGCAGGGTTTTAAAGGTGACAGGTCCATGTGGCACCAGGAGTGACAGGGTTATGGTGACATGTCTGTGTGGCACCCAGAGTGACACGGTTGTGGCGATGTGCCCCTGTGTTATGGTGACATGTCCCTGTGGTTGTCCCATGCTGGCACCAAGGGGTGGCAGGGTTTTAAAGGTGACAGGTCCATGTGGCACCAGGAGTGACAGGGTTATGGTGACATGTCTGTGTGGCACCCAGAGTGACACGGTTGTGGCGATGTGCCCCTGTGTTATGGTGACATGTCCCTGTGGTTGTCCCATGCTGGCACCAAGGGGTGGCAGGGTTTTAAAGGTGACAGGTCCATGTGGCACCAGGAGTGACAGGGTTATGGTGACATGTCTGTGTGGCACCCAGAGTGACACGGTTGTGGCGATGTGCCCCTGTGTTATGGTGACATGTCCCTGTGGTTGTCCCATGCTGGCACCAAGGGGTGGCAGGGTTTTGGTGACATATCCATGTGGCACCAGGGGTGACAGGGGTGTGGTGACACGTCCCTGTGTTATGGTGACGTGTCCCTGTGGTTGTCCCATGCTGCCACTAAGGGCTGACACGGTTCTGGTGACATGCCCGTGTGGCACCAGCAGTGACAGGCGTGTGGTGCCACATCCCTGTGTTATGGTGACACCATGTCTGTGTGGCACCCAGAGTGACACGGTTGTGGCGATGTGCCCCTGTGTTATGGTGACATGTCCCTGTGGTTGTCCCATGCTGGCACCAAGGGGTGGCAGGGTTTTGGTGACATATCCATGTGGCACCAGGGGTGACAGGGGTGTGGTGACACGTCCCTGTGTTATGGTGACGTGTCCCTGTGGTTGTCCCATGCTGCCACTAAGGGCTGACAGGGTTCTGGTGACATGTCTGTGTGGCACCAGGAGTGACAGGGTCCTTGTGGCACTGAAGGTGACAGGGTTTAGTGCCATGTCCCTGTGGCTGTCCTGTGACAGAGTTATGGTGCCATGCCCGTGTGGCACCAGAGGTGACAGTGTCCTGGTGCCACGTCTGTGTGGCACCCGGGGGTGACAGGATTTGATGCAACATCCCTGTGTTATGGTGACATGTCCCATGCTGGCACCAAGGAGTGACAGGGTTTGGTGCCATGTCCGTGTGGCACACAGGGGTGACAATGTCCTGGTGCCATGTCCGTGTGCCACCAGAGGTGACAGGGTTTGGTGCCATGTCCGTGTGACACCAGAGGTGACAGTGTCCTGGTGCCATGTCCGTGTGGCACAGAGGTGACAGTGTCCTGGTGCCCTGTCCCTGGTGCCCCCACGCCGAGAGTGCCACCCATACACAGACAGATGTCCCCGTGGTGCCACTTTGCTGCCACCCTGCTGTGAGAGCCTGGCTGTCGCTGAGCGGTGTCCCCTCTGTCTCCAGGCCCCCCCAGGACATCAGCCTGGAGGAGTTCGATGACGAGGACCTGTCGGAGATCACGGACGACTGCGGCATCGGCCTCAACTACGACTCGGACCACTACGAGAAGGTGCAGGAGCCTGGTGGCCCTTGGGGACACCGTGGGGACACCACGGGGACACCGCGCTGCCGCAACTCAGCCGCAGTGGCGGCTTTGGTGGCTCTGCGGGTGCCGAGGCAAACGGGCGGAGCCGGGGGTCCCTTGTCCCCTTGAGGACACCCCAGAGAGGGGACTGGGGACGCCGCCCCGCCTCGGTGGCAGGGAGGGTGGCCCGCGGCTGTCCCCGCGTCCCTGACACGGTGCCACCCGCAGGACTGCCTGGTGCTGGAGCGCGGGGAGCAGCCGCACCCCGTGTGCACCTTCCAGGACGACTTCCAGGAGTTCGAGATGATCGACGACAACGACGACGACGAGGAAGAGGAGGAGGAGGAGGAAGGCAACGAGCTGGAGGCGCCGCCGTCCCCTTCGGCCTCGCCCATCCCCTCGCCCGCCCTGGAGGAGACGCAGAAGCACCGCCCCACCACGCTCAACCTGACTGCCCCGGGCACTCAGGTGAGGCCGCAGGTGTCCCCTTCCGTCAGGGTGTGTGTCACATCCCCCCAGGGTCACTGTCCCCTTCCATCAGGGTCTGTGTGCCATCCCCCCACCGGGGTCACTGTCCCCATCGCCGCTGGGGTCACTGTCCCTTCCCCCCCTGGGGTCACTGTCCCCTTGCCCCCTGGATCTGTGTCCCTTCCCCTCCCTGGGTCACTGTCCCTTTTCTCCCTGAGGTCACTCTTCCATCCCCCTTGGGGTCACTGTCCCTTCCCCTCCCTGGGTCACTGCCCCCATCCCCACTGGGGTCACTGTCCCTTTTCCCCCTGGGGTCTGTGTCCCTTTTCCCCCCGGATCTGTGTCCCTTCCCCCCGCCCTCCCGGCGCTGTCCCTTCTCCCCCTGGGGTCACTGTCCCTTTTCCCCCCGGATCTGTGTCCCTTCCCCCCGCCCTCCCGGCGTTCTCCGTCCCCGGTGCCCCCCCACGCCGTGTCCCCCGTTTCCCCGGGCTCCCCCGGGGGTGTCCCCCCAGCCGTGTCGCCGCAGGGGTGTCCCCGTGTCGCGGCGCACGCGCCGCCGCAGTGCGTGGGCAGCCGCTCCGCCGGCGTTGCCAGGGAACCGCGGGCCCTCGGGAATTTCGGGCCCCCCCCCTCTTTTCCCGGGAGGGCACCGCGCTCTGCCGGGCTGGGGGGGCTCGGGGGGGTGGCGGTCACCGCGAGGGGACAGAGCCCGGGGGTCCTGCCCGGTCCTGCCCGGCCAGGCCGGGTCCCCGCGTGGCTCCGTCATCCCTTGGAGGGGCGGGGGGGCCCCGGGAGGAGGCGACATCCTGGTCCTGTGTCCCTGTGTCCCCCTGCAGCCACCCCTGTCCCCCCAGATCCCACCCCTGTCCCCCCATCCCCCCAGATCCCATCCCTGTCCCCCCATCCCCTGATCCCCTGTCTTTAACCCCTCCACCACCCTTCACGTGTCCTCCCACAACACGTCCTCATCCCTGTCCCCTCCAGCCTGTCCCCGTCCCCTTCATCCCATCTCCCCCATTCCCATTCCCCCACCCCTGTCCCACTCCCATTCCCATCTCCCCCCATTCCCACATCCCCCATTCCCATCTCCCCCATTCCCATCTCCCCCATTCCCACTCCCATTCCCATATCCCTGTCCCCTCTGTGCCCACCCTGTCAGGGCTGCCCCGGTTGGTGCCCGGTGGCCCCGGCCGCGCTCCCTAATCCCCGCTCCCGCCGGGCCGGGCCGGGATCTGCCGGGATTAGCTCTGCCCGCGCTTCCCGGCGGGATTAATCCGCAGCTGCCGGCGCGACATTCCCGAACATCCCGGGGGCTCCCCACGCCTGCGGGGTGCTGCCGTGCTCCCGGGGCGGCACACGGGTGTCCCGCGGTCAGCGCCGCTGCTGGCTTTGTCCCCGGGGTGGGCACCGTGCCAGCCGTGCCGCGCCGTGCCGCGCTGTGCCGTGCCGTGCCAGCCGTGCCGTGCCGTGCCGTGCCGTGCCGTGCCGTGCCGTGCTGTGCCGGTCTGGCCGGGCAGGGACGCAGGGATGCGGCGGCGCTGACCCGGATAAACCCGCGCACGTGGCGGGGGCTGCCTCCGAGCCCTCCCTGCGACACCCCCGAACCTGTCTGCCATCCCCGGCCCCGTGCCCCCATCCCTGTCCTCCCAGAGCCCATCCCAGGGATGTCCCCAAATCCCTGTCCCCCCAGCACCCGCTCCATCCTTGTCCCCCCAGAGCCCATCCCACGGAGGTACCCAAATCCCTGTCCCCCCAGCACCCATTCCCATCCCTATTCCCCATTCCCATCCTTATCCCCCATTCCCACACCCCCATTCCCACACCCCCATTCCCATTCCCACACCCCCATTCCCATCTCTATCCCCCATCCCCACACCCCTATTCCCACACCCCCATTCCCACACCCCCATTCCCACACCCCCCTTTCCCCTCTCCCCCATCCCCATTCTCACACCCCCATCCCCACCCCCCCCTTTCCCCTCTCCCCACTCGGGTGCCCCGCAGTCCCCCTGCTCTCCCGGGGGCGGGGGGCTGCTCTGAGCCCCCCTCTCTGCTGTCCCCGCAGGATTCCCTGAACAACAACGGCGGCTTCGCCCCGCCCGCGCCGCGCCCCAGCTGGCAGGACGCGCTGCTGCACTCCTCCTCCTCCTCCTCTTCCTCACACACCGGTGAGCGCGGGCTGTGACAGCGGCGGGGTGACAGCGGGGCTGTGACAGTGGCGGGGTGACACTGGGGCTGTGACAGCGGCGGGGTGACACTGGGGCTGTGACAATGGCGGGGTGACAGTGGGGTTGTGACAATGCAGGTGTGACAGCGGGGCTGTGACAGTGGCGGGGTGACACTGGGGCTGTGACAGCGGCGGGGGGACACTGGGGCTGTGACAGCGGCGGGGTGGCAGCGGGGCTGTGACAGTGGGGCTGTGACAACGTGGATGTGACAATGTAGGGGTGATATTTGGGCTGTGCCAATGTGGGTGTGTCAATGCAGGTGTGACAGCTGGGCTGTGACAGTGGGGCTGTGCCAACGGGGGTGTGACAGTGGGCATGTGACAGTTGGGGCTGTGACAGCGGGCTGTGACAATGCAGGTATGGCAATGCAGGTGTGACAGCGGGGCTGTGACAGTGGGGTGTGACAGTGGGGCTGTGACAATGGCGGGGTGACAGTGGGGCTGTGACAATGCAGGTGTGACATTGCAGGTGTGACGTTTGGGCTGTGACAGTGGGGCTGTGACAACATGGATGTGACAATGTAGGGGTGATATCTGGGCTGTGCCAATATGGGTGTGACAGCGGGGCTGTGCCAGCAGGGCTGTGACAATGCAGGTGTGGCAATGCAGGTGTGGCAATGCAGGTGTGACAATGCAGGTGTGCCAGCGGGGCTGTGACAATGCAGGTGTGACAGCGGGGCTGTGACAATGCAGGTGTGGCAATGCAGGTGTGGCAATGCAGGTGTGACAATGCAGGTGTGACAGCGGGGCTGTGCCAGCGGGGCTGTGACAATGCAGGTGTGCCAGCGGGGCTGTGACAATGCAGGTGTGGCAATGCAGGTGTGACAGCGGGGCTGTGCCAGCGCGGGTGTGATGCCGGCTCGCCCCGCGGGGTGACGCCGGCTCCGTGTCGCCCTCCCCGCAGGACACTCGTCCCCCCACGCCTGCATCCTGGACGGACCCTGCCTGGAGAGCCCGCCGGGCCCCGGGGGGGCTCCCCCCTCGCTGCCGCCCTCCCCCCTGGACTCGCAAGGCAACAGCCCCGAGTCCCTGGCACATGGTAACCCATCGCCCCCGAGAGCCGCGCCCGATTTTAACATGAACCTCATCTCCGCTGCGCTCCGAGCTCCGCTCTCCCCGCCGCGCCCCCGCCAGCCGCCCCCGCCTCACCCCTGTCTCTCTCCAACAGGGCCCCCCCGGCCGGAGCGGGACGGGGCTCCCGCGGAGCCGCTCAGCTCCGACGGGGAGGGCGCCCGGTCCGGCCGGGCCGCCAGCGTGCGCGGCCACCCCTCGGGCTCCTCGGAGACCACCTCGCCCTCCTCGGACCCGGGCATCGAGGCCGACCTCACGAGCCGCACGGCCAAGCCCTTCCTGCCCGGCGGGCGGCGCGGGGACGAGCTCAGCTCGCCCGGCTCCGACTCGGACGTGGACGGGGAGCTCGAGGCGGCTTTCGCCGGCGGGCGCCTGGTCAGCAACATGATCTCGTCCATCTCGGAGACCGAGCTGGACCTCAGCAGCGACAGCAGCAGCGGCCGCTCCTCCCACCTGACCAACTCCATCGAGGAGGCCAGCTCGCCCGGCTCCGAGGGCGAGCTGGAGCCCGAGCTGGAGGCGCCCGGCCTGCTGGGCATCAAGGACTCGCTGCTGCTGGACAAGGGCAAGGAGGACGAGGAGGAGCCGGCCGAGAGGGGCCCGCCGGAGCGCGGCGTGGTCCGGAGGGAGAGCCTGGCCGAGCTGAAGATGGACGCCTACTACGACAGCCTGGACCCGGCCGACGGCCCCGCGCCCGAGGGCCAGACCGACGTGTCCAGCGCCAGCCCCCTGGACCTGAAGATCGACCCCGACCACGGCCTGGAGAGCATCCGCCGCTCCTTCTACCTGCCCGTGGGGCCCAAGCTGATGCCCGAGGCGGACGAAGAGGACAACAGCGAGTACGACTCCGACTCGGAGTCGGAGCCCGACCTGAGCGAGGACTCGGACTCGCCGTGGCTGCTCAGCAACCTGGTGAACAAGATGATCTCGGAGGGCTCGTACCCCATCAAGTGCCCGGACGAGTGCTTCCAGAACGGCCACTCGCTGTGCGACACCATCTCGCCCGCCTCCGACCTGGAGCCCGAGATCCCGAGCGAGGCGCTGGACGAGGAGCCGGGCCCGCGGGACTCGCCGGCGGACGCGGCGGCGTCCCCCGGCTCCGAGCCCGCTGTCCCCGGCGGGGACCGCCGCCCCGCCAGCCCCCGGCGCCGGGCCCTCGAGGGGGACCTGGGCTCGGGCGTGCTGGAGGCCGACTCCATGATCGACGACGTCCGGTTAGCGCCCGACGCCGACCCCGCCGCGCTGGACGTGTCCACGGCCAAGACCAACCGCGGCTTCGCCATGGCCTTGGAGGAGGCCGAGCCGCCCTTGGTGGCCCCGCGCCGGGGCGGCCCGGCCGGGGAGGCTCCGGTGCCGCCGGAGCCGCCGGCGCTGGACGAGTCGCTGGCCTACGACTCGGTCAAGTACACGCTGGTGGTGGACGAGCACACGCAGCTGGAGCTGGTCAGCCTGCGGCGCTGCACGTCCGTGCTCAGCGACGACAGTGACATCCTGAGGGCCTGCGACGACGAGGTGGCCTTTGGGGACGGGCTGGTGGCCCCCGACGCGCGCAGCTCCTCCGAGGACTCGTCCCCCGAGGCCGACCTGCAGTTCTCCAAGAAGTTCCTCAACGTCTTCGTCAACAGCACCTCGCGCTCCTCCAGTAAGTGGCGGTGTGGCGTCGGGACGTGTTGCGACATGTCGTGACGTGTCACGGTGTCCTGGGCTGGTCTGGGTGATGGTGGCACACCGGCTGCCCTCCGTGTCCTGCCCCAGCCGTTCCCATGTATCCTGTTGTGGTATGTCACGGCGTGTCACGGGATGTCATGTTATGTCACGGGGTGTTGGCTCTTCTCACACCAGCTGCCCTCCCTGTCCTGCCCCTGGCACCTTTCCCGTGTGCCATGTCACGTCACGACGTGTCACGCCGTGTCTGGGATGTCACGGCGTGTCGTGACACGTCACGGGAGACGGGGCAGGCTCACAGCGACCACAAGGGTCCCCAGCCCTGCTCTGCTGGGCCAGGTGGGACCCCCCAGGAGGGTTCTGACCCCAGGAGTGCCCCTCAGGGTTGTGGGTGGGGGTGTCCCGTGGGGGTGGCAGCTGTCCCATGTCCCCGTGGGGGTGGCAGCTGTCCCGTGGGGGTGGCAGCTGTCCCCGTGGCCCTGGCATCGCTGTCCCCGCAGGCACAGAGTCCTTTGGGCTGTTCTCCTGCATGGTGAACGGGGAGGAGCGGGAGCAGACCCACCGCGCCGTCTTCAGGTGAGGCCACCCCAGGTGACAGCCAGGGGACCCCCGGCCCCTGCCAGGGACACCCCAGAACTCCCTGCCTGCTGCTGGGGTGGCTGTCCCCAGGCTCTGGGGGTGTCGTGTCCCCCAGGGCAGGCACCCCACAGCTGCCACTGTGGGTCTGGGTCTGGGGGTGAAGGGGGTGTGGGTCTGGGTTTGGGGGTGCCCAGGATGTCGGGGGTGTGGCGGGGTGGAGTTTTGGTGAATGGCTTTGGGGGTGATGAGAAGATGAGTGGAGTGGATTTGGGCTGACCAGGAGGGCAGGGCAGTGAATTTGGGCTGACCCTGAGTCCAGGGCAGTGAATTTGGGCTGACCCTGAGGTCAGGGCAGTGAATTTGGGTTGACCCCAAGGGCAAAGCCATGGCTTTGGAGCTGACCCCGAGGGCAGGGCAGTGAATTTGGGCTGACCCCGAAGGCAGGGCAGTGAATTTGGGCTGACCCCGAGTCCAGGGCCGTGGCTTTGGGCTGACCCTGAGTCCAGGGCAGTGAATTTGGGGCTGACCCCGAGGCCAGGGCAGTGAATTTGGGCTGACCCCGAAGGCAGGGCAGTGAATTTGGGCTGACCCCGAGTCCAGGGCCGTGGCTTTGGGCTGACCCTGAGTCCAGGGCAGTGAATTTGGGGCTGACCCCGAGGCCAGGGCAGTGAATTTGGGCTGACCCCGAAGGCAGGGCAGTGAATTTGGGCTGACCCCGAGGGCAGGGCAGTGAATTTGGGCTGACCCTGAGTCCAGAGCCGTGAATTTGGGCTGCCCACGTCCCCCCCGCGTCCCCTCGCGTCCCCCCAGGTTCATCCCGCGGCACGAGGACGAGCTGGAGCTGGACGTGGACGATCCCATCCTGGTGGAGCTGGAGGAGGACGACTACTGGTACCGGGGCTACAACATGCGCACGGGCGAGCGCGGCATCTTCCCGGCCTTCTACGCCCACGAGGTGGTGGGACAGGCCCGCGACGCCGCGGGTACGGCCCGGGGGTCCGGGGGGCTCGGGGGGCTCTTCTATATTTATTTTTCTATATTTATTTTTCTATATTTATTTTTCTATATTTATTTTTCTATATTTATTTTTCTATATTTATTTTTCTATATTTATTTTTCTATATTTATTTTTCTATATTTATTTTTCTATATTTATTTTTCTATATTTATTTTTCTATATTTATTTTTCTATATTTATTTTTCTATATTTATTTTTCTATATTTATTTTTCTATATTTATTTTTCTATATTTATTTTTCTATATTTATTTTTCTATATTTATTTTTCTATATTTATTTTTCTATATTTATTTTTCTATATTTATTTTTCTATATTTATTTTTCTATATTTATTTTTCTATATTTATTTTTCTATATTTATTTTTCTATATTTATTTTTCTATATTTATTTTTCTATATTTATTTTTCTATATTTATTTTTCTATATTTATTTTTCTATATTTATTTTTCTATATTTATTTTTCTATATTTATTTTTCTATATTTATTTTTCTATATTTATTTTTCTATATTTATTTTTCTATATTTATTTTTCTATATTTATTTTTCTATATTTATTTTTCTATATTTATTTTTCTATATTTATTTTTCTATATTTATTTTTCTATATTTATTTTTCTATATTTATTTTTCTATATTTATTTTTCTATATTTATTTTTCTATATTTATTTTTCTATATTTATTTTTCTATATTTATTTTTCTATATTTATTTTTCTATATTTATTTTTCTATATTTATTTTTCTATATTTATTTTTCTATATTTATTTTTCTATATTTATTTTTCTATATTTATTTTTCTATATTTATTTTTCTATATTTATTTTTCTATATTTATTTTTCTATATTTATTTTTCTATATTTATTTTTCTATATTTATTTTTCTATATTTATTTTTCTATATTTATTTTTCTATATTTATTTTTCTATATTTATTTTTCTATATTTATTTTTCTATATTTATTTTTCTATATTTATTTTTCTATATTTATTTTTCTATATTTATTTTTCTATATTTATTTTTCTATATTTATTTTTCTATATTTATTTTTCTATATTTATTTTTCTATATTTATTTTTCTATATTTATTTTTCTATATTTATTTTTCTATATTTATTTTTCTATATTTATTTTTCTATATTTATTTTTCTATATTTATTTTTCTATATTTATTTTTCTATATTTATTTTTCTATATTTATTTTTCTATATTTATTTTTCTATATTTATTTTTCTATATTTATTTTTCTATATTTATTTTTCTATATTTATTTTTCTATATTTATTTTTCTATATTTATTTTTCTATATTTATTTTTCTATATTTATTTTTCTATATTTATTTTTCTATATTTATTTTTCTATATTTATTTTTCTATATTTATTTTTCTATATTTATTTTTCTATATTTATTTTTCTATATTTATTTTTCTATATTTATTTTTCTATATTTATTTTTCTATATTTATTTTTCTATATTTATTTTTCTATATTTATTTTTCTATATTTATTTTTCTATATTTATTTTTCTATATTTATTTTTCTATATTTATTTTTCTATATTTATTTTTCTATATTTATTTTTCTATATTTATTTTTCTATATTTATTTTTCTATATTTATTTTTCTATATTTATTTTTCTATATTTATTTTTCTATATTTATTTTTCTATATTTATTTTTCTATATTTATTTTTCTATATTTATTTTTCTGTATTTATTTTCCTGTATTTATATTTTTCTATATTTTTCTGTATTTATTTTTCTGTATTTATTTTTCTATATTTATTATTCTGTATTTATTTTTCTGTATTTATATTTTTCTATATTTTTTCTGTATATTTGTTTTTCTATATTTATTTTTTGTATTTATTCTTTTATATTTATTTTTCTGTATTTATTTTTCTGTATTTATTCTTTTATATTTATTTTTCTGTATTTATTTTTCTATATTTATTTTTCTATATTTATTTTTCTATATTTACTTTTCTATATTTATTTTTATATTTATTTTTCTATATTTATTTTTCTGTATTTATTTTCCTGTATTTATATTTTTCTATATTTTTCTGTATTTATTTTTCTGTATTTATTTTTCTATATTTATTATTCTGTATTTATTTTTCTGTATTTATATTTTTCTATATTTTTTTCTGTATATTTGTTTTTCTATATTTATTTTTTGTATTTATTCTTTTATATTTATTTTTCTGTATTTATTTTTCTGTATTTATTCTTTTATATTTATTTTTCTGTATTTATTTTTCTATATTTATTTTTCTATATTTATTTTTCTATATTTATTTTTCTATATTTATTTGTATGTTTAACTCTATATTTATTTCTATTTTTCTATATTTATTTCTATATTTATTTCTATATTTCTATATTTATTTCCTATTATTTCTATATTTATTTTTCTATATTTATTTGTATATTTATCTTCATATTTATTTCTATATTTATTTCTATTATTTCTATATTTATTTGTACATTTATCTCTATATTTATTTCTATTCTTTATTTCTATATTTCTATATTTATCTCTATTATTTTAATATTTATTTTTATATTTATCTCTATATTTATTTCTATATTTCTATATTTATTCCTATCATTTCTATATTTATTTTTCAACATTGATTTTTTAATTATGTTGACTGCACACCTATTTATGAGGATTTTACATATTTAAACGTTTCTTGGAGTTTTTTTACCTCCTCTGGGAGTTTTTTAGCTTGGCCCCAGCCCTGGCCCCTCGTGCAGGGGTGAATATTTGATTTTTGGGAGTGGGGGGTGGCATTTCCCCCAATGTTTGTGACATTTTTTGTCATTTTTCACCACAAACGGGAGCTACAGACAGCGCAGAATTCTCCTTTACATCTTTATTTTCTGCATTATCTGCAGAAATTTAAAAATTTAAAAAATTATTTCATCACACAGAGAGGTTTGTTGTTTTCAGAGACTTCTCAGAGTTAGTTACAAAAATGGAAGCTTTAGTTATTATTTCATGACCAAAAGGGGATTTTATAGCACACAGCACCTGGCTTCTGCGTTCCTATTTTGGGCAAGAAAAAATTTAAATTACTGCAGTTTAAACTAATATATTTGTCTATAATATACATTAAATTACTGCAGTTTAAACTAATATGTTTATCTATAATATACATTAAATTACTGCAGTTTAAACTAATATGTTTATCTATAATATACATTGAATTACTGCAGTTTAAACTAATATATCTAGCTATAATATACATTAAATTACTGCAGTTTAATATATTTATCTATAATATACATTAAATTACTGCAGTTTAAACTAATATATTTGTCTAATATATACATTGAATTACTGCAGTTTAAACTAATATGTTTATCTAGAATATACATTAAATTACTGCAGTTTAAACTAATATGTTTATCTATAATATAAAATAATGTGTAAGTTAATATAAGATAAATAATATATTAAAATATATAAAATAAATAATTTTATATAAGTTTAATATATATCAAAATAGAAATAATATGTAAAAATAAATAGTATGTAAATACTATATAAAATATAAAAGTATAGAAATAATATGTAATATATAGAATATAGAAATAATGTATAAGTTAATATAGAATAAATAATCTGTAAAGTTAATATGGAATAGATAATGAATGTGATTCAGAGCTGACAAGCTGAGCCCAGTTAAGATAATTTGCAGAAGTTGATACAGAACACGAAAGACAATGGCTGCCATGGCCACAGGGCACTGGTGCTCAGTGGGGCACCAGTGACAGCAGCGACACCAGTCAGAGGTGACACCGGTGACAGCAGTGTATAAAATAATGTGTAAGTTAATATAAGATAAATAATATATTAAAATATATAAAATAAATAATTTTATATAAGTTTAATATATATCAAAATAGAAATAATATGTAAAAATAAATAGTATGTAAATACTATATAAAATATAAAAGTATAGAAATAATATGTAATATATAGAATATAGAAATAATGTATAAGTTAATATAGAATAAATAATCTGTAAAGTTAATATGGAATAGATAATGAATGTGATTCAGAGCTGACAAGCTGAGCCCAGTTAAGATAATTTGCAGAAGTTGATACAGAACACGAAAGACAATGGCTGCCATGGCCACAGGGCACTGGTGCTCAGTGGGGCACCAGTGACAGCAGCGACACCAGTCAGAGGTGACACCGGTGACAGCAGTGACAGCAGTCAGCAGTGACAGCAGTGACAGCAGTGACAGCAGTGACAGCGGTGACAGCAGTGAAGCAGTGACAGCAGTGACACCAGTGACACCAGTGACACCAGTGACAGCAGTGACAGCAGTGAAGCAGTGACAGCAGTGACACCAGGACAGCAGTGACAGCAGTGACAGCAGTCAGAGGTGACAGCAGTGACAGCAGTGACAGCAGTGAAGCAGTGACAGCAGTGACAGCAGTGATACAAGTGACACCAGTCTGCAGTGACAGCAGTGACAGCGGTGACAGCAGTGACAGCAGTGACACCA